TTTGTAAATTTTAATGTTCAATTATAAAGCATGGCACAGCATTTCCAGTGGATCACATGGATGCAGTGTTTTTTTGTTTTTTTGATAGAAAGTACTTTAGAAGAAGGGGTAAGACTGATCTTGAATGATGGGAGACTTTTCAAGGGATAAAAAGTCAAAGAATCATAAGGGAGCTGCTGAGCTAGGGTTTTTGGATAAAGACTGGGTTTAGAGCCAAGAAATTAGCAGAGCTGGAGTGGAAGCCACCATAGGCAATTAAATTTCCTTCCTGACTTGAGTTAACCTGAAAGAAATGTGGATATACCAAATAATTTTTGATGTTCGTAATGTTTAGGAGTTCATGAGCACTCATCTTTCTCATGGACAGATTATATACACAGAATAGCAGATGACATTGTGGTTTCCTTGGCAGCCAATCCTGGACATAGGGGAATTCAACCTTGTCCACCAGCTGCTTGAGTCCTGACCCTGTTCTCAGCAGCTGTGGAGAATAAAAGTGTCAGCTTGGTCAGCTCCTGGCATGCAGGCACAAGCAGTTGAGCTGCATGGAATCGAATCTCACACTAGATAGAGTTCCTTGTCGCTCTAACTGCCTAATTCTCTCCGGGTTGGGGAGGTAGACTTCCTCTTGCTGGCTGCTTTGGGCCTCCAGAATCAGTTGTTCTTAATCTGAATAAATCCTGTTCTCAGCAGGAATGAATGAGTGAATTTTCTCTGCAGAAAAAGGCTGAGAATCACTTGAAAACTCAGCTGTTTTATTACAACTAATGTAGGCCATTATTGCACTTTTAAGTAATATAGGAAGCTTTATATAGTTTTTTTGCTGATTTTTGTTTTTAAAAAGGTTAAAGATGAGAATATTTGAAATCTTGCTCCCCTGGCATGTTGTCAGTTTAGCTCAAATAAACTTATAAAACAAATTAAAAAAGAAGTTAAAGATGTATATAGTAGCAGTTCTTACCTGTGTTAAAATCTGGCCAAAACCGGTTTGGCTCAGTGAATAGAGCGTCGGCCTGTGGACTGAAGGGTCCCAGGTTCGATTCCCGTCAAGGAAGGGCATGTACTTTGTGCAAGAGGCAGCTGATCAATGTTTCTAACTCTCTATCCCTCTCTCTTCCTCTCTGTAAAAAATCAATAAAATATATATTTAAAAAAATCTGTCACATCTTTTTAATTTAGTTTGAATGAGGTGAGATGAATATGGGTTTTAAAATGTGATTGGGTAGGTTGAAATAACCTGGTACTTTCTTTAGCTCCAGAACCTGTGATACGTATGTTTGAGATTCTACTGAATTATTTTTAGAATCTCTTGCTCTTATCTGTTTCTATTCTAAGAATTCTGCTGGAACCTGTTCCAGGGTAGTAGAACTCTGGGGAATGGAGAGTGATGGAAAACAAGTGGAAACTGAATTCCTATGGTTTGGCAACTGGGTGGCTATTGTAGAAGCCTTACTTTTACTGTATATAATTCTGTTTCCAGAAGAGAAATCATAGAGTTTTCCCATGTGACAGTATGTTAGTTAAAGGTACTGATATTTTAAAAAATATATATTTTATTGAATTTTTACAGAGAGGAAGGGAGAGGGATAGAAAGCTAGAAACATTGATGAGGAGAAACATCAACCAGCTGCTTCCCGCCCCCTTCCCCCCGGCCCCCACACTGGTTATGTGCCCGCAACCAAGATACATGCCCTTGACTGGAATCAATCCCGGACCCTTCAGTTCGAAGGCTGATGCTCTATCCACTGAGCCAAACTGGTTTTGGCAAAGATACTGATTTTTATAGTCTAGTTTCCATATTCATTTTCACAGTTCAGTGGTGGCAACAGTTTTTAAGGGTGTTGATAATTTTGGTAACTTATGCTCTTACCTTGATTTATGAATTCACTGTCTCTAGAAGTTTTATATGAAATTAATTTTTGGCCCTAGCCAGTTTGGCTCAGTGGATAGAGCATCAGCTTGTGGACTAAAGGGTCCCAGGTTTAATTCCGGTCAGGGGCACATATCCAGGCTGTGGGCTCAATCCCCAGTAGTGGGGTGTGCAGGAGGCAGCCAGTCCAGATTCTCTGTCATTGGTATTTCTCCTATTCTTCCTTCTTCCCTGAAAAATCCAAGTATAATGGAAAAATAAAATTAAATTAATATATGAAAATTTGAAGCACCTCCCTGCCCTTCCCCACATGCTTGCATTGTAAACTCGAAGTTTTTTGCTAAATATCTTAAGCATTAACACTTTTTAAAAAAATATATATTTTATTGATTTTGTACAGAGAGGAAGGGAGAGAGAGAGAGAGTTAGAAACATCGATGAGAGAGAGTCATCGATCAGCTGCCTCTTGCACACCCCCTACTGGGGATATGCCCGCAACCAAGGTACATGCCCTTGACCGGAATCGAACCCGGGACCTTTCAGTCCCCAAGCCGACGCTCTATCCATTGAGCCAAACCGGTTTCGGCAGCATTAACACTTTTTTATGAATAGGAATTAAGCTATTCTGACATTTCAGTGTTAGTGTGGATAACCATGTTGACAGAAAATAAGCTAGCCTGAATTTGTTCAGCAAGCATCCTTTATAAGCATATTCTGGGGTCATCATTATTTAAGGTATTTTTTCTTTAGGATTGCATTCTCAATATTTATGTCAGTGGCCATTTGTAATAACAATTTAAGAATATATAACCCAGAGCAATGAACCTTAATTAAAAGAGGAACATGATTATTCCCCCAAAATAATAATTACATTTAAAGTATGCAATGTACTTTTCATGTTTCATAAGGCAATTGTTTTGGGTCAGCCATGGAACAGGGGCCATTACTAATGAGCTATTCATTATCAAATGTGGATTGATGATTAGAATAGAGATATAAAGTCTTTTTTTTTTTTAATATATATTTTATTGATTTTTTTACAGAGAGGAAGGGAGGGAGAGAGAGAGAGCTAGAAATGTCGATGAGAGAGTAATATCGACCAGCTGCCTCTTGCACACCCCCTACCGGGGATGTGCCCGCAACCAAGGTACATGCCCTTGACCGGAATCGAACCCGGGACCCTTCAGTCCGCAGACCGACGCTCTACCACTGAGCCAAACCGGTTTCAGCGAGATATAAAGTCTTAATATTTATATTAAGGCAGCAAATTAGCAAAATTTTAGTAGTTTGAAACAAAAAAGAGCTTATGGTTCTTCTGATTGACAAGTGAGGATTCAGGCGCATTACATAAAAATATTTGGTTGGAATAGCAAGGCTACTCAAAGTTTTTTTGTAAATCAGAAAACTCACTGTTATTTTTAAAAAATATATATTTTATTGATTTTTTTACAGACAGGAAGGGAGAGGGATAGAGAGTCAGAAACATCGATGAGAGAGAAACATCAATCAGCTACCTCCTGCACACCATCCACTGGGATGTGCCCTCAATCCAGGTACATGCCCTTGACTGGAATTGAATCTGGGACCTTTCAGTCCGCAGGCTGACGCTCTATCCACTGAGCCAAACCGGTTTCAGCTCACTCTTATTTTACTTTGGGGTTGGACTCACAGTGCAATATACAGATGACATACCATAGAACTGTATACTTGAAGACTATATAATTAACCAATGTCACCCCAGTAAATTAAATTAAAAACACCCTAAAATCTTGGCATCTATTCAACTTAATTTTATTTCTATACATGCAGATTTTCATCACCAGATGGCACTCTTGTCAAAAGAAATTCTCATTTTGTTTTATTTAACTAGTGGCCCGGTGTACAAAATTCGTGCATGGGGAGGGAGGGGAGAAGGGGTGTCCCTCAGCCTGGCCTGCACCCTCTCCAGTCTGGGACTCCTCAGGGAATATCCGACTGCTGGCCCCCTAGGGAAGATGGTGACGTAACCACAAAATGACATACTAACCTGAGGACTGTCTGTATATACATAGCCCATGGACACAGACAATAGCGTGGAGAAGGCCTGGGGTGGGACAGCAGCTGGTTGGAGGGGGGAAAGGATGGGGAAATGTGGGATATCTGTAGTACTGTCAATAATAATAATAATAAAAAAGGACTCTGCTTTTAATTTGTCTCGTTTGTATTACTGGAAGTAGAATTACTGGACCATATGGTAATTCTATTTTTAATTTTTTGAGTAACTGCCCTGTTGTTTTCTGTAGTTACTATAATGTTGTACATTCTTAACAGCTGTATTTAAGAGGTCTTAATTTCTCTGCATCCTTGGCCAAATGATTTTTTATTAGCCACCCTAATGGGAGTGAAGTGGCATTTCATTATTATAATCATGTTTTGGTGGCATATTATATTTTTTACATGCTTGAGAAGTAGGTATTCAGCAAATATTTGTTGAATAAATAAAGTAAAAATAGATGCACTATTGTCTTATCTCTTTTGAAGTCTTGTTATTTTTGAGAATTTTTGTGAGTTTATTTGTGCCAAACTGTCGATAATTGCTGGGAAGCCGAATTGGTGTATTGGGATAATGCTTCCGAGAATGGCAGTTTTTCACTTAGTTTTATACAAGATTTGTTGTTTATAAGAGGCTTTTGCCATTTGGTATGTCTTGCTCCTGGATATCACATTTTGAATTGGATTATTGCCAAGTAAAATTTTGGCCGGATGCAGTTTTTTGTGTTCAAATACCAACTGCAAATGGGAAGAGCAGATAAAACTACATGTAGTAGAAACTACATGCAGTATAGTGGTAAAATAATTGCTGAATAAAATTCATGGTATTTGAGATGTTTGTTTAGAATTGTTGTACTTGTAAACCCTAGACTTTAGATTGCATTAGTAAATTGGCTTAAGTGCTGCCAGGAAAATCTAAAATCCTAACTGGTTGTTTTCTTGAGAATTTGTATTCTAGAGAACCTTTGATCTATCTCATGCTTACTCTTTGCCTTGTATTTTATTCTTGCCATTTACTATGATTTGCAAGTTTTGCTCACCATGCCTGTTTTCTTGCAGATTTTCTACTTTGTAAACACATTATTTTGTATATACTGTATATGATGACTTCGGTGAGCAGTGACCGTTCCCGAGGTGCTCGGGAAAAAACACAGATTTCAGCGACACAGGCAACACAACTACAGAAACAAGTAGTACAGGTAAGTTTTTGTGGAAGTTTTGTGGAAATTAAGGGAGCACCTGTGCTTTAATGTTCTTCTTTGTAGGAAACATCAGGATTTTAAATCTCATTTTTAAAAAGCAGATAGTATGCCCTAGCTGGGTGACTCGGTTGATTTTAGAGAGAGGGAGAGGGAGAAAGAGAGAGGAGAAATAAGAGAGACAGAAACATTGATTGTTGTCTCATATGCATCCTGACCAGGGATCAAACCCACAACTTGAGTAGTGCCCTTAACTGGGAATCGAACCTGTGACCCTTTAGTGCATGGGACGACACTTCAACCAGCTGAACCACAGCAGCCAGAGCATGAATAGCCTCTTATCAAAGATGAAATACAAGTTATGAATAATTATAGGTGCAACCCTGCTAATAAAGAAATAATAAGACAAATTTTATTTATCAAATCAGTAAGGATTAAATGCTTGTCTTTTCAAGGAGGGTCAAATTTAATGTGTTGGAAATGTAAAATGTCTGTTTTCCACTCAACTGGGAATTCCTTGGGCTGATTTCCAGAGAATCAGATTCTCTAGATTGGAGAAGGGAGGACTCCCTTCTTCCCGATGATTGTCACTAAAAGTTTTTCTGGGGGCCCTTTGGGGATGACTCATTTTTTCTGATTAGAAGAAAAACTGCCAGCTGAGTTGTGGGAAGGATTTCTAGGCCCTTAGATTACTAATTTTTCTTTTTATAAAACTGTGAGAATTTCTCAAAATAGTATTATATAGTAATAAATATGTGCGTGTTCATTTATTTATTAATCCCATGCTGGGAAATATATCCTAAGGAAAAACCTTAATGGGGAGGCTTTTTTTGTAAGATGTTTATTGCCCAATTCTAAATGTCCATAGAGGAATTCTGAGAACCTATCTAGGTAGCAGGTTGTAAGAGAGAAATCCATGAGCTCTCCTGAATCTGAATAAACCTGAGTTTGGGCCCTTGGTCTGCCACTTTACTATTTATTTATACTGAAATATCTTTGAACCTCAGTTGTTTTTTTTTTAAATTTATTTTTTATTGTTGACATTATTACAGATGTCCCTCATTTCCCTTCTTTTGTCTCCCTCCACCCAGGCCTCAACCCACCCCAAGCCTTTACCACACTATTGTCTCTGACCATGGGCTGTGCATATATTCATATAAGTTCTTTGGTTGATTTCTTCCTGTTACTTCCCTACTCTCCCACATACCTCTTCCTTCTGAGATCTGTCAGTCTGTTTCATGCATCCATGCCTCTGGACCTATTTTTTTCATTAGTTTGTTTTGTTTATTACATTCCACCTATAATGAGATCATGTAATATTTGTCTTTCTCTGACTGGCTTATTTCACTTAGCATGATAATCTCCAGGTCCATCCATGCTGTTGCAAAGGGTAAGAGATGAACCTCAGATTTTTACTAGTAAAATCATGCTTTGAGAGTTAGAAAAAAATTTTGAGTTGTACACATTATTCCTAAATATCTTTTTAGATCTCCAGATGTTAACAGTTATCTTTTTCTCCCTTGTACAAAGGAGGAATTACATGCTCCTTTTCCTCTAAACCTCTTAAGAATAAGTTGCAGATGTGGTGCTTCTTTATCTGTAAATACTAGTAGACGATGTTAATGATATTTATCTTTGGGTGATGGGCATAAGGATGACTTAATCCAGCTTTATTATATTTTCCAAATTTTCTGAGTGACGTCCAAGAAAAAACATTTGAGTGTACTATAAAGGTTAAAGTTGATGGTGTGTGGGCAGGCTAAATAGGAATCTCAGATGGTGAATAAAGAAAAATTGAATTTATTTAAAGAAAAGGGGATAGGGATATCCAAAGGGAAGGGCTATACAGCACTGAGCTAAGGAGTATTGGGAGTATTAGCAGCCCCTCGGAGACGGAGACTCTTCTTTGTATGTAGCACTGGTGGGAAGGATTTGTAGTCGGTGAGTTGTGGGGTCTTGGTTGATGGGTTTAGGCAATGGGGTTGGGTCAACAGGACTGTGAATGTGCAATTGGGTGCTTCTTGGCATTTTTAGTTCCTTCTGTGGTTGATTCCTAGTGTCCGGCATTTCATTGCCCAACAAGTCTTCCTGGTCTTTGTTCTCCTGTGGTGGCGAAGCTTACAAAATGGCTGTTAAGAATTATATTGCCTTATAAGACCTAACATACTATAAAAGCTATCAACACTTTATTATAAAAGTAGGTTAGCTCAGTATAAGCCAAGTGAATGGAAGAGAGATCCAGAGGAAGATATTAGTAATGCTGCTTTTCTTGGCAAGAATTTTTCAACTTGACAGTTGTGTTTATGTCACTGATGCTTGTAGGAGAAGGTGCACTAATGTTTAACTTCGAATTACCAGTTGATTCTGCTTATTCCTCTTGATTTCACAAGCTATACAGACCTCTTCTCAGCTGTTTGGGCTCAGCCTGGCAATTTTTTTTTTTTTTAATCATACTCTATGTTTGTTTATCTCATGCTTAATTTTCTTTTTTTTTTTCCTGACTAAAGGGTAATTTTTATTTTATGTTCAGAAAACTCAACAATGTACACTTAGCCCAGCTTGGTGGTCAGCTTTTTAGCCTTGGCCTTTTCCAGCTTAGAATAGGATGTTGCATTCACACTGGGAGCGGATCTCATCATATTTGTTGTAATTGGTCTGGATAGCCTCCACCAGCTTAGCCAGAGCACCTGTGTCTTCTGTGTGAAGGTGACGGTGGTGCAGGTCTTCCTGTGGACTAGACGTCCTAGCTTGGCCTTCCCCTTGATAATGCAGTAGGGAACCCACATCTTACAGCACAGGGCAGGCAGGATGCACATCATGTGCAATTGTTGATCAGCTGTGCCTTCTTGTTCTCACCAGGGTGGTCACAGTGTTACTCCTCCCAAAGGACAGGAGGCTCCTTGGTGGGGAAATCTCCTTTTCCTGACAGCTTTTTCTCAGCCTGGGCCAACAATCTCTTTTCTCGCTTTGTCTCTGATTCTGTACTTGTGGGTCAGCTTTAGCACTAGAGTTGCTGCTTGGCCCTCCCAAGACCCAGGTGAATTGGTTAATGGCAGGAGATACTTTTAGATGCTTATAAAAAATGGCCGTTTGACGCTGCAACTGAATGTCGGGGGGGGGGGGGTGGTATTTGACAAAATGGATGAGATGTCTTTTGGGTTAATTCTTAGGCCTTTCCTCAAATGGGATTTACCACTTCCTTGTCCTGCTTCTCCACGACAGCAGAGACCTGCAAACATCTTCTCCTTAGCCTTCTTTCCTTTTGGTGTCTTGGGCGGCGGGAGGAAAGAGCTAATTTTCTTCTTGACTAGGGTAATTGGCAAAGGTAAAAATATTTAAAGGCCTAATTGAAAATACTTTATATTTCATTAATATTCTATGCTAGTATTGCAAAACTGTACTTGTTAAACAGTTATTAAGTGCATCAGCTGTGTTTTCAGAAGTTATTTCTAGATGGTCTGAACCCTTTCAAGAATAAAACATGATATTATTGAATTAAAATACAAAGCATATTTGAATCATAGTACTTAAGCTTAAAAAACTAAGTCTGAATAAATTAAGTAATTGGTATTTACCTTACATATGGTAATGAATAGTGACTTGAATGAATGACTTGTGTGGGTGAAATAGTATCAACTTTGAAATGAAATATATTTTAATAAACACTGCCTTTATAATTATTCAAAGTGTGTATACATTTTTGGGGGACACCCTATATACCCATATATTATGAATGTATATACAAATTAGGTAAAATTGGATCTTTATTGTGTTTATAGTATATAGTATATCTCCCTTTGAAACATATACATTCATATATCGTGGCTATATATACAAATTAGGTATAAATTTGATCTCTATACTCTTTAGGTAGTAATAAAAAATTAGTAGTAAAAATGCAAGACCTATCCAGGTAGCCAATAAACATTATGCTAATAGATATTCACAATAAATTGTGTGTGTTTTTCTACAAAGTAATGTGTTTATATTAATATTCTGTTTTTGTTTTTATCAGAAAAACAAGTATATGCCAAATAAATATTTTTGATACTAGGTGGTTACATCATGGGTCACAGTAATTTTCTAGTGGGGTATGTGAAAATTTTGTAATTTAAGGAAATTTGTTTGAAGCAATGAGTTTTAGTGTGCTTGGAATGGAGTAGGGCTGAATGAATATGAGTAAGAGACAGTATTTAGACTTGACACTCAGAGTGCAAGATATTGTTAATAGGGAAAATTGATACAAATTAATCATGTAGGCTTTTAGCTTTAGGGGCACCAATGATTTACTTTCATTCATAAAATGTTTCCAATCACCTACAACCCAAATGTATCATGAGACAGTGCCATCTTTTTGGAGCTCATCGCCTTTGATTTTTCCCTTTTCTGTTATTTCATGCCATTGGTCCTTTTGCCTGCAGCACTGGGACTTCTAAGTTGGTTATGTGTCAGGGAAATGATTGTCTAATGCAGTGATCACCAACAGGTGGTCCACGGACCACTGGTGGTCCATGAGGTCCAAAAGGCTGACGACCACTGGTCTAATATGCAGGTAGGTATAGTGAAAGTATATGTAAGGCCCTATAAACATACACTGGGTAGTACTGAGGTTAAATTGGCTACATGAGAAGACACAGTTTTCTATACAAACATTTTTCTGGTTGGAATGGTGTAGCACTGTAGTGGTTCAACTGAGGTGACAACAGGCAGGCATATGTAAGAATGAAAGGATTGGCCATTAGATCTTGTATAAAGACTAGGGGTTATTTGAAATATATATGTACTTAAAGTAGAGAAGAAAAATTGTCCATTATTAGTTCTTGTGAGGATCATTCAGTAATTTGAACTGTTTAACTTTTTTTTTTTTTTTTAATAAATTTTTTATTGTTCATATTATTACAAATGTTCCTTTTTTCCCCTCCACCATTGCTCTCCTCCACCAGGTTCCCACCCCACCCTCTGCCCTTTTCCTATGCCCCATTGTCCTCATCCATTGGTGCACAGTTTATGTTCAGTCTCTTCCCACATCCCCCTCTCCCCTTCTCCCCTTCTTCCCAAGAATCGTCAGTTCACTCCCCTTCCATACATCTGATTCTATTATATTCAACAGTTAATATTGTTCATCAGATTTTTTTTAAATTTCCTTGGTTTTTAGATTCACTTGTTGATAGTTATGTATTTGTTGTTCATAATTTTTATCTTTATTTACTTTCTCTTCTGAAAGAACCCCCTTCAGCAATTCATATAATTCTGGTTTGGTGTTGATGAACTCCTTTAGCTTTTTTTTTTTTTTATTAGTGAAGCTCTTTATCTGACCTTCGATTCTGAGTGATAGCTTTGCTGGGTAGATTATCTTTGGCTGTAGGTTCTTACTATTCATCACCTTGAATATTTCTTGCCATTCCCGTCTGGCCTGCATGGTTTCTATTGAGAAATCAGCTGACAATCGTATAGGTGCTCCTTTATAGGTAACTACCTTCTTTGCTCTTGCTGCTTTTAATATTCTCTCTTTGTCCTTTGCTCTTGGCATTTTAATTATGATTTGTCTTGGTGTGGTCCTCTTTGGATTCCTTTTGTTTGGAGTTCTGTGTGCTTCCTGGACTTGTAAGTCTAATTCTTTCACCAGGTGGGGAAAGTTTTCTGTCACTATTTCTTTCAGTATGTTTTTGATATCTTGCTCTCTCATCTTCTGGGACCCCCATAATTCTGATGTTGGTTTGCTTGAAGTTGTCCCAGAGGTTTCTTACATTATCTTCAATTTTTTGTATTCTCTTGCCCTCTAGCTTCAGTGGAAGAGTGTCTTCTGGCTCTTTATGTTCCAAATCTTTGACTTGATTCTTGCGATCTTCCATTCTGTTTTTAGGACTCTGTATAATATTTTTTATTTCAGACAATATATTCTTTATTTCTTGTTGATCCCTTATCATTTTTTGTTGATTCTTTATTAATTCTAGTTGATCCCTTTTCATATCCTCATAGGTCTTATCAATCTTTTCTAGGAAATTCTTGAAAAACCTTATAAGCGTAGATTTGAACTCTATATCCAGTCGCTTTTTGTCCTCCATTTCTTTCGTTTGTGATCTATTTTGTTGTCGCATTTCACAGCTACAGATGGGACAGGATTTCAGGGTGGAGCCTACAGCCTTGGCTTCCGTCAGCCACGCCCTATGCGGGTCCTTCAGTGCTCCTTGCAAGCGCCTCTGAGAGAAAGGTGCCCTCGATTTTCACCTGCTACCAGTCTAGGCTTTCCCCCAATGAGCCTGGGATTGGGGTTCAGTTCAGTTGGAAGTGGAGTTGGAGGTGGCGTTCAGAGCAGTCTGGAGCTCCTGTCTCCTTCCCGCCAGGGCAATTCCATGGCACAGCCGACCGACCCTTCTCTGCACACAATGTGCGCGCCGCCGGGACCTCCTTTCGCCGCTCCCCCGGGGTTCAGCCTTACAGCCCAGCTCCCTATGGATGAGCCTGGGTTCCTGGGGTCTAGCCTAGAACTGGGGTTCAGAGCAGTCGGAACTGGGGTCCAACACAGTCGGAGCTTTTATCTACTTCCCGCTAGGGAACGCCAGCCAGGCACTCGGCCTCCCTCCTCTCCAGCTCCGTCCTCTCCGTGCGCGCTGTGTGTCTCCGTACCGTAGGCTTTTACAGCTCCTCCGCGCTTCCTTCTGGTTTTCTCCTTGCTTCTCATTGTAGAATTTCCAGTCAGTCGACTTTCCTGTAGTTTTGGGTAACGTTCATTTTATATTTTAGTTGTATTTTATTGAAATTGTTGTGTGCGGCTGCGGCTAGGTGGTTACCTGGGCAGCCATCTTGGATTCTCCTCTCTGAACTGTTTAACTTTTTAAACATGTATTTTGGGAGTTAGTATAAATTTTAACTAACAAGGGTAACTTTTTTTGGGGGGGAAACTCGTTTTGGAGGCATTTTAGATTTATCAGAAAGTTGCAGAAATAGAAGAGAGAGTTCCTATATAGCCCTCACCTAGTTTCCCTGTTGTCATAACCATAGTACTTTTGTCAAAGCTAATAAACCAAATTGGTATATTATTATTAACTCACTGCACAAAAGAGTATAACTTTTTCCATACCTTTTAATTTATTATTTGTCAAAAACACCATAAAATGAAACCACAATAATTAAGTAACTTGAATTTTTTTTTTTTTTTAAAGGATTTTGAGTTTAAAAATCAGCTGGAAAAGAGTTTTCTGCAGAGGTGACTAATTTTATGTTTGAAAGTTTCATTTTTTTTTTTTCTTAAAATCATTTTTTATTGCAATTAAAAATAGTAACTTTTACTTAGATAAATCTAGCCTTTTAAAAACTGACCATGATACCTTTTTAGAGTTGACAACGGAGCTTTTTTGTTCTGATAGCAAGCCTGGTTCTAGTGTCCCAGCAGTTGTTTTCACTGTTCCTTGTTCTTCCACTTTCTCTTATGCTGGCTACTCCCATCTCTCCAGGAAGAAAATTCAGATGAGTCAATGCAGATGAGTAAGAACCTTAGGTAATTTGGCCAAATAAATAGGACCTTTACATTATTTAATTTGATACTTAATTTACCTTATGGGTACGGGTTGTGTATGTTTTCTATTACCGTAGTTGCTGGAGTGCTAGAGAGTTTTTATCTGTTTTGCAGCAGAGTTTGGCATTTAACATATTTTTGTACTCAAATCTTAACATTTTTTTTTTTTGTACTTTCCAGGTAACAGCTGAACAGATGCGTCTCGCTCAGGTGATCTTTGATAAAAATGATTTAGAATTTGAAGCTAAAGTTAAACAGGTATGTTTCTGGCAAAGGATGTTACCTATTTTTATTAGTTTTAAAAAGAAAATTTTACTAGAGATTTTAATTTTATTTTTTAAACATATTTTTATTGATTTCAGAGAGGAAGGGAGAGAGAGAGGGATAGAAACGTCAATAATGAAAGAGACTCATTGATCAGCTGCCTCCTGGATGCCCCCTACTAGGGATCGAGCCCTCAACCTGGGCATATGCCCTGACTGGGAATATAACCATGACCTCCTGGTTCATATGTTAGTGATCTACCAGTAATCGCTCCTTGGAGTGAACATCCCACAGTGAACTCTTTAGCCTTTTACTATGTAAACTCTTTGTTCTTATAGTTTCTTTCGTCAGACTAATGATATTTTTGGATGTCCACAAAAAGAATTATTAAAAATGATAGGCTTCATTCTCTGGAATGATATTTATATACAGTTTAAGACATACTACAAATTATATTTTATCTGAATAGCATAGCAGATACACAAGCAAGATCACTGGTTCAGGAGTTCAGAGTTTTAAGTGCTAACTTTAGTTCTGTCTCACTGATCCAATCACTGGAGTACTTTAAAGTATTTTTAAAAAAAAAATAATTACCCAATGATACTTTTTCCATTGTTTGAGAGAGTGAAGAGAAGGGAGGAGGAGAGGAGAAGGAAAGAGAGAGAGAGAAACATTGATGTGGCCTTGACTGGTTTGACTCAGTGGATAGAATGTCGGCCTGCTGACTGAAGGGTCCCAGGTTCGATTCCGGTCAAGGCATGTACCTTGGTTGCAGACACATCCCCGGTAGGGGGTGTGCAAGAGGCAGCTGGTTGATGTTTCTCTCTCATCGACGTTTCTAGCTCTCCTTTTCTCTCTGTAAAAAAATCAATAAAATATATTTAAAATAAATAAAAATAAAATATATTTTAAAAAATATCCAGTCTAATTGTTTTGCACATGGACAAATTTCCCTACATATGCTATTACTACTTGGATTATAACATATATAAGTTATAATACCTAAGTTCTCACAAGGAATTCTGCCGTGATCACAAAACTCACTCCTACACATACTATATTGTCAAGCAGATTCCACAGATTGCTATGTTTGTCATAATTAAAGAAATTCCTTTGGTGCATTCTGTATAACAAGAGAAATTAAGCTGCTTAATAGTTTCATCACAAAGAGCAATCAGATTAGGCAAAATAAAGGTGTTTCAATGATCAGTTAACAAATGTTAACATATACGTGGTCTTTGGGAAACATAAAGTCCATCTTAATATTTGTGTAGTTTAGAATTTTAGGAATGCTGGCTATGGACCAAGTTTGAGTAGACAATAACTGATCCAGAGTATTCTAAGGATGTTGATATACATGCATATGCTGCTGATTAATAATCTGTTATTGCTCATCTTGAAGGAGGGTTGATTTGTAGTTTGACTAATATTAGTGAAAAGACATTTGGTGGCCACAAACAAAACAGGTAAAAGCTCAGAGTGTAGAAGTACTGCATAAGTTCTGTCTTTATGGAGAAGAATCTTAAAATATCAAGCACCATTTTTGGTGTCTCCCTAACCATGTTTTTATAATTTCAACAGCTTATGGAAGTGACAGGAAAAAATCAGGATGAATGCATAGTTGCCCTACATGATTGTAATGGAGATGTGAACAAAGCTATCAATATATTGCTGGAAGGGAATTCAGACACGGTAAGATTATTAAGTATTATTCATTGATTTGCAGTGCTACGATTTGTTTCCAACCCCATATTTCATTTTAAACTTCACCTTATATGGGGGTGGGGATGGAGGGAATTATGGGTGCCATTCCATATTAGTTTTAAGTTCCAGAAAGAATACTAACCTGAAATGACTGTTTTTGTTATATATGGTTTCTTCATGAAGTCGTAGAATCTGAAGACTCGAATGAGAACTTGGTCATCTACTCCAGCCTTACACAGTTTCCAAAATTCTCTGGGCCTGTGGATATTTTCACCACCTGAAAAAACTTCTCTTGGCTCCACTGCTTATGTTTCTTCATCTCAGTCGTCACCTCTTACTACTCCTTATATTTCTAGACTAACAGAAAACCAGGATTTGCTGGTATATCTATTTATGTGTGAATATGCTACAGACACATTTTTCATGACAGTTCGACAGATATATAAAAGGAGAAAAGTTTTTTAATGTTTTTTTTTTTTTCTGTGTGTTTTTTAGCTTAGAAAGTTTGAGGAATGTGCAGGCACACTTTTAGGAAGGCTTTTACTAAAGCCACACCAGGCAGCTGCCAGCACTAGTCTTTTGATTCCTATGTGGAGAGATTGCACAATATTTCATTTGTATTTTTCAGTTGAGGAAATCTCTTCCTAGTCGATTAAAATAGATAATGACTTATTGAAAAAGGGGTACAAAGATGACCCATCAAAAAGTGCTTTCCTTGCTCAACCAGCGTGGCTCAGTTGGTTGAGCATCATCCTGTGCACCGAAGGGTTACTGGATTGATTCCTGGTCAGGGCATATACTGAGACTGTGGGCTCAGTCCCTGATCCCTGGTCAGGGCATGTACGGCAGGCAGCTAATTGAACTATCTTCCTTCCTTCCTTCCTTCCTTCCTTCCTTCCTTCCTTCCTTCCTTCCTTCCTTCCTTCCTTCCTTCCTTCCTTCCTTCCTTCCTTCCTTCCTTCCTTCCTTTCGCTCTCTCGCTCTCTCGCTCTCTCGCTCTCTCGCTCTCTCGCTCTCTCTCTTTCTCTCTTTCTCTCTCTTTCTCTCTCTTTCTCTCTCTTTCTCTCTCTCTCTTTCTCAAAACAAAAAAAGCATGTCTTGGTTAAGGATTAAAAGTGGGGGGAAAGTGGCTTCTTGTTAGTATTAGGTTTAATCATGCTCAGTTAAAGGGATAGGCTGCATTAGAGTCAGGTTGTATAAAAATGAACTGCCATGACAAGGTGAAATGTAAAATGAGAATATTTTTTAATCTGAAACAAGAAAAATGAATTTTGTAGTTATTAGGTACTTGGGAAAAATTTTTCGCTATTTGAACATAAGCAGTATTTGTGGGTAAAATTCCATGCAAAATAACACTGGTCCACATGATAAACCACTAAATATGTCAGTTTGTTGGAAAAATATATAATGTTAAGTGATGAAATAAAACTTTGAATAGCTTTTGTTTGCTAACAGGCATGTATTTACTGTTTTGTTTTGTTTTTTAAATATGGGGAATGTGCCGAAACCGGTTTGGCTCAATGGATGGAGCATCGGCTTGGGGACTGAAGGGTCCCGGGTTTGATTCCGGTCAGGGGCATGTACCTTGGTTGCGGGCATATCCCCAGTAGGGGGTGTGCAGGAGGCAGCTGATCGATGACTCTCAATTATCGATGTTTCTAACTCTCTCTCTCCCTTCCTCTCTGTACAAAAATCAATAAAATATATTTTTAAAAAATAAAAATAAATATGGGGACTGTGTTTGCCTCATTGCTAATGGATTCACTGTAGAATGGCTGTTATTTTCCAAATGAACTAATGGACTTTCCTTTTTATAAAAATAATATGCACAAATGAAATATATTTAAATTATTAATTAGAGTACCTATTTCTTTTTTATCGTAGAGATAGGGCAGGATACTACTTACTGCTGCCTTTCCTTTACATCCAGCAGATTTCATTCTTTTCTGTGGTAGTCGGGTGAATTTTTCTTTTTTTCTTCTTTTTTAATATATTTTATTGATTTTGTACAGAGAGGAAGGAAGAGAGATAGAGAGCTAGAAACATCGATGAGAGAGAGTCATCGATCAGCTGCCTCCTGCACACCCCCCACTGGGGAAATTCCCACAACCAAGGTACATGCCCTTGACCGGAACCGAACCCAGGTCCCTTCAGTTCCCAAGCCGACGCTCTATCCATTGAACCAAACTGGTCTTGGCTGAATTTTTAAGTCTAAAACGTCCAGTTCTCTCTTTGTGGTTTACTGAGTTTTAACTTCTCCCCTGAGACTGAATCCGGTTCTGGATTGAATGTTACATCAAGAATGTCTTTTTGTCTTCTTCTTGAACTTAGAAACCACACAGTGGTAGCCAGATTTGGCTTGTTTTCTTCAAAGATCAGAAAATAAATTAGTGCTTGAATCCAGACACAAAAGGTGTATGCTTGATTGGAGATAAGAGGACTGTAGGGGAAATGCAGAAGCAGAGGGAAAGTTGTTTAGGATTATTTTGTGGTGCATCTTTACTTTCATATTGTTGGCCTTGTCTCTGACCTGGTTGCCGTGTGCAGCATGACTAACCAGAAGCAATAACGAATACCTTCTGACTGGGGTAGAGAGTTAATTGGAGGTGAGGAGGAGGAATGTTATGTAAATACTCTAGATAGGAGCTAGAACATTTAAAGTAAACCATGAAAGCCTGGCCAGCATGGATCCATGGATGAGCATTGACCTAGGAACCAGGAGGTCACAGTTCAATTCAGGGCATATGCCTATATTGTGGGCTTGATCACCAATGTGGAGTGTGCAGAAGGCAGATAATCAATGATTCTCATAATTGAGGTTTCTGTCTCTCTCCCTCTCCCGTAGTCTCTGAAATCAATAAAAATAAACTCTTGTTTTGTGTACTGAACTGTAAACCTACTTTTGCCCCATCCTGTTTATGGTATGATTTGATTTGGTATCACTATTAGAGGAGAGATGAAGGAAGGTTTTATAAATAAATCATTGATTTCTCATTGGAATAGGTCTTTGAGGTTTAAATTTCAGGTACTTAAAAAAACTAAACCAAAATTTTGTCTATTAAAAATTTTTATATAGTTTGGGTAACTGAATAGGGAAATTTTAGGGCATCACTTTATGTACCTTTGTAATCTTTGAGCTAATCTATATATTTAATAGACTTAAGCCCTACTACTGAAGTAGGTGAGGGTAGCATAGGGTGGGAAATGGGAGAAATGACATTTACTTTACTCACAAAAAAGGCATAGAAAAAACCTTTTTTGTGGTAGAACAACAGAGTATGTTATCAATTCAGCGAGTTGCTGTAATCTTTTGTGCTCTATATAGCAAAGGAGCTTAGCAAGAGATTTGCTGTCTTAGCATTGGAAAGTAGAACTATATGGAAAAGAATTAAAATGGTAGACAAGCAAGCTACAAGGTATGGATAATTAGGTTTGGAAGATATATGCACACTTAGTAATTGTACACTCTTTGAATGACAACTCTTATCTTCGGTAGACTTCATGGGAGACTGTAGGGGGGAAGAAGAAGAATTTTGGAAAAGAAAGTTCAGAAAACAAAGAGAATAGAGAGAAGAGAAGTGAGAGAGAAGTGAGTCGTGGACGTGGAAACAACAACCGGAAAGGAAGAGGTGGCAATCGTGGGAGAGAGTGTAAGTATAGACCTTTATCCTGAACTTTTTATGATGGAAATTTTCATGCACGCTGAAAGAGTGGTCCAAAGAATGTCTATAAATCTACTCCCTCAATGCACCGTTTGCTGTTACAATTTACATTTGGGTTCTAATGAACTACTTAGTTAATTTAGTAATTGATGCAATTTCATATCAGCATTGACCAGGGCTGTAGTTAATTAAGTTGTGTGTATTATCACTGCCTTCTATCTGGCCAGTATGGCTCAGTTGGTTGAGCATCATCCCCTGCACTGAAAGGTTCCTGGTTTGATTCCTGATCAGGTACATTCCTGGGTTGTAGGTGCAATCTCCAGTGGGGAGCAGGCAATTAATGCTTCTCTCTCTCATCGATGTTTTACTCTTTCCCTCTTCCTTCTTCTCTCTCTAAAATCAATAAAAACATTATATATATATATATATATATATATATATGACTGCTTCTATTGTGAATCATATACATCCTCTAATTTTAAAGGAGAATTTTTATTCAGTGATAGATGAAGCTCTTTATTCTTCCTCATGGTATAGACAAAGGTTAAAATAAATGGGAAGTTGTTGAATAGGAAAGATTTTCTCAGTACTTTCCATTCGACCTAAGAACAACAACCTGCTGTACAGATATACCAAAGTAGCTAAATTATGAATGAATAAAATGTAAATATTAAATATATCACCTTAAAGACTTTTTTAAAATCTTCACTTGAGGATATGTTGATTGATTTGAGATAGAGAGGAAAGGTTGGTGGTGGGGGAGGGCAGGGAGAAATAGAAAGAAAGGAAAACATTGATATGAGAAACAGATCAGTTGCCTGCTGTACACATCTTCAACAGGGATCAAACCTGAAACCTAGGTATGTGCACTGAGGGGAAATTGGACCCTGCAACCTATTGGCTTATAGGACAACACTCCCACCAGCTGAGCAGTCGGCCAGCACTGACCTTAGAGATTTTTGTTAGTTTATTCCATGGATATTTATTGAGCATCTGCTGTATAGCAAGTACTCTTATAGGCATATAGCAATAAATGGTACAGACATCTTTGTTCTCCTAAAACTTACCTTTTAATAGAGGTACAATGAAATGTAACAATAAAAAGAAAAAGTAACATTTTATATTAATAATATTCTAATGGTGTTAATAGAAATTATGCTGTGGATGAAAACAAAGCACACAGAGATTGGGATTATAAAGAGAGGTAAATTTAAATGGAGTGGCACCTTCATGAAAATTCATAGGTATTAACCTCTGAAGCAAGCTGTGCCAATATCACTCATAAAATTCCTATATTATATGGAATCATTAATACCAATATAGGTATGAGGAGAAGAAAAGACTGTATTGGCATCTTCTGGACAGAATTCTATAAAAACCTGTCTCTAACATTAATTTTTTTAATTAATATATTTTATTGATTTTGTACAGAGAGGAAGGGAGAGAGAGAGTTAGAAACATCGATGAGAGAGAGTCACCGATCAGCTGCCTCCTGCATACCCCCCACTGGGGATATGCCCGCAACCAAGGTATATGCCCTTGACCAGAATCGAATCTGGGACCTTTCAGTCCCCAAGCCGACGCACTATCCACTGAGCCAAACCGGTTTCGGCTAACATTATGCAATTTCTTTAATAACCGTTTTTCCTTGATGGTGTTGTTTTGCTCTTCTATGTCTTTCCAGAACTTAAACCTAACTAGTCAGCAAATGTGTGTTGTATTACATAGTTGAATAACAAATTAGGCTTTTTGAAACAAACTTACTTTAGGGGAGGCCAAGTCCAAATAGAAGAAATAAAAAGTGGTATGTCATTTTAATTTCTTTTTAGAACTTTTACCTATAATTAAGGAAGATGTGCTATTAATCAGTTTTGAACCACTTGGTGTCTTTTTAAATATATATTTTCATTGATCTCAGAGAGGGAGAGAGAGATGGAAAGAAACATCAGTGATGAAACATCAGTGATGAGAGAGAATCACCGTTCGGCTGCTTCCTGTACTCCCACATGGGGGATCAAGCCCGAAACCTTGGCATGTGCCCTTGACTGGAATCAAACCCAGGACCCTTCAGTCTGAAGGCCGATGCTTGATCCACTGAGCCAAACCAGCTAGGGCGACTTACTTCTGTTTTTCTTCTTTTTAAAAAACCCTTTGGTTATGTTTTAGCCATTTAAAAAAGTCTTTTTGTTCTTGCTTCTACTAGTTGTCTGGTATGATTATATATGAGACCCTCTTTTATTTCTTAGTTAGAGGTGAAGAGAATGGAATTGATTGCAATCAAGGGGACAAGCCTTCAGACCGTGGCAAGCGCACCCGTGGTAGAGGTGAGATAGAATAAGCTCTATATGTACATATTATTTTTTCCCCCTGAAACCTTTGAGTATAAATTTCAGAAATAATGCCTTTTTATATACCCCTTAATATTTTAGTGTGTGTCTCCTAAGGAAAAAAAGGTAATCTATAGAGCTCTCTTAAAATGATAAGAGTCAGAAAATTTTTACTGATGCAATCTATAAGTCTTATTCAGAAATTTTCAGTTATCTTGCTAATATTTTTATAGCAAAAAAGGAAAATATTTTGGTCCAGAATCTAATCCAGGATCACACACTGTATTTATCTATCTATCTATCTATCTATCTATCTATTTATTTATTTATAAAAGATATATTTATTGATTTCAGAGAGGGAGAGGGAGAGCATGATAGAAACATCAATAATGAGAGAATCATTTATCAGCTGCCTCCTGTATGCCCCCCTACTTGGGGATTGAGCCTGCAACCTGGGCATGTGCCCTTGACCAGAATTGAACCCCGGACCCTTCTGTCCATAGACTGACATTCTATCCACTGAGCCAAACCAGCTAGGGCAGATCACACATTGTATTTAGTTCCCATGTCTCTGTAGTGTCCTTTAGTCTGGAACAGTTCATCATTCTGGAAAAGTCTTTGTCTTTCATGGCCTTGATGCTTTTGAAGCATATGGACTCTTGTAGAATGTTCTTCAATACCAATCAGATGTTTCTTCTTGATAAGTTTCATCTATTTTGGGCAGGTACCACAAAGGGATGATAACTATAATGTGATATAATAATAATCGGTTTATCCCACTACTAGTGATGTTAACTTTTATTTAGGTAGGAGCTTTTGGCCAAGTTTCTTCTATGTAAGGTTATATCCCCCACTTAAGTATTTTTTGGTGGGCAGTACTCAGAGACTTTGTAAATATTCTTCTTTTTTAATCAGATTTCATTCACTAGTATTAGAATTTGTGAATTTCCTGAAACAATTATTTTGACACATTTATAATCAGGCTTCTTTGCTAAGTTAAAGCTAATACATAGGATATAAGGGTGGATTTTAAGCTTCTTCCTCACTGAATTCCAGTCTTTTTTTTTTTTTTTTTGTGTGTTGCTGTCATTTGTCTAATTTAAGCTGCTTTAGGATTGGGGAAAGTGTATTCCTGTTTCTCTGAGAATACAATACCCTGACTCAGGGGCAGTTAGGCACAGTTTGCCTGACTCCCTGGTCTCTAAACTACACAGCTCAAGGGATGCCCTGTTTTTTAGTGGAACGAACAGGTCTCTGGGCATGGGGACAACTCAAAGCAACCATATTAATCATTGAACCAACCCTGAATATTGGGGAACTTAAAGAAATTTTTAAAATTTATTTGAGTGACAGGAAGGGTGGGAGGGGAGAAAGAAAGGGAGAGAGAAACATCGATTTTATTGTTCCATTTGTTTGTGCATTAATTGATTGCTTCTTATATGTACTCTGACCAGGGATAGAACCTGCAACCTTGCCATATTGGATCAACACTCTAGCCAGAGCTAGTTGGCCAGAGCTTGAGATCTTTTGTCAATACAAAGAACTTTAGGACTAGTCATAGGCCAGAGTGTGTAGTGATGAATTCAAGTTCATGTACTTTCTGGCACATTTGGCTATTATCAAAACCCTTTTACAGTCTTCTGGGGATGAATGGAGGGAATTGCTTTCTACATTTTTAGATGCTACATATCACAAATAGTATACAAAGCAAAAAAAATTTTTTCTATCCTTTCAAATCAGTAACTTTGTACATAGGTGTGTCAGTAGAGACTAGAAGATGGAGTGCACCAGAGGGAATGATGGTGCTGTTTGGAACAGTGACAATATTGAATAGGTGCATATAGGATAAAGTAGGTCAAATTGTAATTGTGTAGGACATAAGTATTATTTTACACTATAATTTTTTTTTTTTTTTTAAGGATTTGGACGTGGCAGAGGGAGAGGGGCAGGAAGAGTCTCAAACCAAGGCATGGGGTAAGTGTAGCCATTCTATTTTTGTAGTTCTCCAGTTGTTATCCAAGGGTTTCCTTCCTCTATTTTATGCTCAGTTTATTCTGGCAAGTAAGGTGTTTCCTATACTTAAGAGAAAGTAGTAAAAAAGTTAAATAGTACAAATAAAATTGTACTGCATTGGACCTTAGAGCAGTTTCTAGCCTTGACTCTGTTGACATTATGGATTGGATAATAGTTTGTTGAGATGGTTGGGCGTCCTTGACAATGTAGGATGTTTAGCAACATTCCTGGCCTTTCCCTACTAAATGCCTTTCTCAAGTTACAACATTCAAAAATGTCTCCAGACATTGCCACATGCTCCCTGGGAGGGAGGTGCACAATCGCTCCTAGGTGTAAGCCACTGTATAAGAGTTATGTTGGTAAACCCAGGAATTGTCTTTGAATAGTAAGTAAATGCGATGTTTATTTATATAATAGTTTTTTCCTGAATTGAAATGATGACCATACTGTTACTAAATAAATGGTATAATCAATAGTTTTTCATATTTTCTTATTGTTCTTTAACTTTTTCCTGCTTCTAAAACTTTAGCTCCCCCTGGATTTTTAGAAAAATAAATAAAAAGAAAGAAAAAAGTTTTAAGCATCTTACAGAAACCACATGTAGATTATCATCAAGAAAGGAAGGGATTGGTTCCAGAAAAAGCCCTTTTCTCTCCATAGCTCAGGGCAGCACTGTTTGGGGTCATTTCCTTTAGGTACCTCATGCCATCCTTTTCTTCCTGAGCTCCCTGGAGGCAAAGGAAGGATGAAAACACTTAAACGCCTATGCCCAGCACAGTAGCTTTAAACTCTTTTGTGGATTTTACTGTGTACTTTCAAACTTATCTCTTCGTGGTTTTTTTTTTTTTTTTTTTTTTTTAAGTTAATGATTACAATTAAGCTGGGGGGAAAAAATCTGTTGTGAAAATTTTAGAGAATATTTAATTTGAATCTAGTTACTAGACCTCTGAGTCATGGGTGTTTAGGATTTTAATGAACAACAACAACAAAGAAGAGGTACTGAACAAAACATTTTTGTTTCTTTTTAAAAAAAACATTTTTTATCAGTTTTTCTATACAAAAAGGATCACATACAACTGCTATAAAAGGATCAAAGTCAAACTTGGATTCTAACTTGGGAAGAAAAGACTTGCCTGTTTAAGTCTGGGGTTAGTTTTCAGGGGGCTTTCCATAGAGCCCTCATGCTGCCTACAATGATTATGCCTCCACACCTTTAGAATGCAGAGGACAGCAACTTAGGGAAATAGGGGTATCTTATAAGAGTGTATGGAAGATCCCTAGGCAACTCTGCTTTTCAGAAAATCTGCATCCTAATGGCAAGAGGAATGAGCTATAGTTAAATAGGAGAAGGAGGGTGAAGTTTCATAGCATCTCTTAGAAAAGAAATGACTTCTTTTGTGAGAGATGATGTACAGTTACTTTTGTGACTTTGGTGATTGCTTCATTTGCCTTTATTCTTTATTTCAAACCCAGGACATTTAATCCTGCAGACTATTCAGAGTCTCCATCTATAGATGGGTGTGGGACAAAACCAGTAGTTTGGGAAGCTGCTCACAATGGTGCGGATGAGGGAAGTGGTAAGTGTCTATTCTTATCAGAGATGTATTTTTAAAGTTTGCGATAGCATGCATATAAAGATGACATCAAAGTGTGCTGATGAAGAATAAGGAAAAAGCCTGCTGTCCTACCCCTGAGACTACTATTAGCCTGTCCTTTACTTCCAAAGTCTCTCACTTATAAATCTCATTGATGATAAGACATTTGATTTTATTTTCCTTTCTGCACTCTGAGGAATAGGTTATAATCAGGCTATGTCAGCACAGATCCACACTCAAATTTCAGTATGTCATGGATTTCTTTTTATTAAAATTTTTAAAATTAGTCAACATTCAATATTATGTTAGTTTTAGGTGTACCGCATAGTGTTTAGGCATTTGTATAACTAATGAAGTGATTTCCCTGATAACTAGTTTCTTCCCCAGCCCCCTTCCAACCCCTCACCATACCCCCAGCAGTGCGTCAGGGATTTATAGAATTTCTTAGGAGAAGACTTATTACTGGAAATACCATTGCTAATGGTGGACAGTAAATTTGGCCAGATAAAGTGGTAGATGATAGATGGGCTTGGAGCAACAATTGCTTTTGCAGGTTTTTTTCTTTATCCTTCTGTTTTTAGATTATTTCTTTTCTAAAATTAATGAGTAGATATTTGTTCATAGGGTATGTTTATGTAATAGAGCTTTTTGGAGGATTTGTTCATGATCAGAACTACTGCAATTGTATTTATTACTCAAGGTATAATTTGAGTTCGGCTGGAGTGGCTCAGTTGGTTGAGTGTCATCCAGTGCACCAAAAGGTTGGCAATTCCAGTCCTGGTCAGGGCACAGGCCTGGATTGTGAGGTGTTTTTTGTTGTTGTTGTTGTTGTATTAATTCTAACCAAAGCATATTTTTTTCCCATTGATTTTTAGAGAGAGTAGAGGGGGTGTGGGGAGAGAGAGACATTGATATGAGAAAGACACATAGATTGGTATCTCCTGCACATGCCCAGGATCCAACAAGCAGCTCAGGTATGTGTCTTTGACCAGGAATTGAATCTGAGACCCTTCGGTGAGCAGACTGACTGACACACTACATCTATTGAGTGACACCAGCCAGGGCTGGGTTGCAGTTTGATCTCCAGTTGGGGAGCATACAGAAGGCAACCTATCGATGTCTCTCTTTCTCTCTCTCTCCTTTTCTCCCTCCATCTATGTCCTTAGATGAGGATTTTTTAAAAATTTAAGACATAATTTGACACTTCTATATAGCATCAACTCTCGTCAGGAAATAAGACTGCACAATCATGAACTAGAATTCAAAGATAATGTAGAGATCAATAAAAGTTACAAATGGTAATTTGAAAAGACTAATAAAATTGATAAATTTATTTGAGACTGTTCAGGGAAAGGAGAAGCATAAATAATTGATTCTAGGAATGGAAAAGGAATATTGATATTCTTTATAATTATAGATGTTAAAAGATCATAGGAAGACACTTTATGTTAATACATTTTGTGCTAACATTTGTAATTACACAATGACCTCACTTCAACACAGATATAAAATCTTTTTTGAGGGGCTCTTTTTCTTTTTAATTTTATTACTGAAAGTATTACAGATGTCCTCATTTATTTCCCCTATTGACCCCCCTCCACCCCATTCTCATCCCCTCCCTAGGCCTTCCCTACATTATTGTCTGTCCGTAGGCTATGCATATCCTATCTAATAAAAAAGTAATATGCAAATTGATGTCACTCCAAGACACCAGATAGCCATCCCCATGTGGCCAAAGATGGCTGCCCCCATGTGGACACAAGATGGCCACCACAAGATGGCCTACAGTGAAGGGCAGTTTGGGCATTTAGCGGTGACCAGACCAGCAGAGGAGGACGGTTGGGGGTGACCAGGTTGGTAGAAGAGCAGGCCTGCAGGGGAATGCATTTGGGGGTGACAAGGCCTGCAGGGAAGGACAGTTAGTGGTAACCAGACTGGCAGGGGAGGGCAGTTAGGGGTGACCAGGCCAGCAGGGGAGGGTAGCTAGGGGCAATCGGGCCAGCTGGGGAGCAGTTAGACGTTGATCAGGCTGGCAGGGGAGTGGGTAGGGTGTGATCAGGCTGGTAGGCAGAAGTGGTTAGGAGCAATCAGGCAGAGGCAGGTGAGTGGTTGGGAGCCAGCAGTCCTGGATTGTGAGAGGGATGTACAACTGCCCGTTTAGGCCCGACCCTGATGGGATCCATTTTGAGTTTATTCTTATGTATGGTGTAAGTTGGTGGTCTAGTTTAATTTTTTTGCAGGTACCTATCAAATTTTCCCAACAACATTTATTGGAGTGTCTTGACTCCATTGTGTGCTCATGCCTCCTTTGTCAGATATTAATTGAGCATAATGGTATAGGTCAATTTCTGGTTCTCTTAAGAGTTTACTGACATTTCAATATCAGTAATCTCTTAGATATATATTCAAGATAATAGGAGACTTAGGTTCATACAAATATTCTTAGAAGCATAACTCATAATAGCTAAAAAGTGGAAACCAAATGTATTTCAGTTGATGAATAGATAAGTATAATGTCTGTCATCTCTACAATGGAATATTCATTCTGCCTTAAAAAAAAAAAGAATGAAGTACTGCCTGGCTAGTGTGGCTCAGTGGTTGAGCACCGACCTATGTACCAGGAGATCAGGGTTCAATTCCCTGGTAGGACACATGCCTGAATTATAGGCTCCATCCCCAGTGTGGGGTATGAAGGAGGCAACCAATTGATTTTCTCTCACCATTGATGTTTTTGTCTCTCTCCCTCTCCCTTTCTTTCTGAAATCAATAAAAATATAAACAAACAAAATGAAGTATTGCCCTAGCCTGTTTGTTTCAATGGATAGAGCACCAGCCTGTGGACTGAAGGTCCCGGGTTCAATTCTGGTCAAGGGCACATGCTTGGGTTGCAGGCTTAATCCCCAGTAGGTGGTGTGCAGGAGGCAGCCAATTAGTGATTCCCTATCATCATTGATGTTTCTATCTCTCCTTTACTCTCTGAAATCAATAAAAATACATTTAAAAAAAGAAAGAAAAAAGAATGGATGAACCTTGAAACATTATGCTGAGAGAAAGAAGCCAGACATAAAGGACCATATGTTTTATACTAGAGTCCCAATGCACGAAAATTCATGCAAAAGCAGGCCTTCTCCCCGTCCCCCTCAGCTCCTGGCACCAGCTTTTCTTTGGCACCTGGGACCCAGGCTTCCCTCCTCTGCTGCCCGCAGGCACCTGGGACCTGGGCTAGCCTCAGTTCGTCAGGAAGGATGTCTGGAAGATATCCGATCTAATTAGCATATTACCTTTTTATTATTATAGATTGTATGATTTCATTTATGAGAAGTTCCCAGATTGGACAAATACATAGTAACAAAAAGTTGATTGGAGGCCTTGGGGGGGAAATAGGTACTAATTACTAATGAATTAAAGATTATTTTTTGGAATGATGAAAATATTCTGGAGTGGTTGCACAACTTGTGAATATAATAAAAGCTATTCAGTTATGTACTTTAAAAGGAAGGATTTTATGCTGTGTAAGTTAAATCTCAATGACAAAAATGAGTTCTGTGAATTTCTTTACAGAATAAAGGAGAAAATTCACATAATTTCAGTAAGGAAAGCATTTGACTAAATCTACCATCCATCTTGTTTTGTTTTGTTTCTTTAAAGCCAGGCAAGTCTGGAATATAAGGAAATTTTCTTAATCAAACACAGGACATCTACAACATTTACTGTAAACATTGCAGTTAATGGTGATGTGTTGAATGTATTTCCTCTGGAAAAAGATAAAGAAGCATATAAGTCTCACTATTTCTATTCACTAGTGTACCAGAGGTTTTAACCATTGTAGTAAGGAATAAAGAAAAGTCAGAGGGGTTAAGCGGGGGAGGGGGGGGGGCCCGCACACGTGTCATTTCTAAAAATGTTATAAAAGAATCTACAGAGAAATGATTGAAATTAGTAAGGGAGTTTTAATATATTGATTTTTTTTTTTACAGAGAGGAAGAGAGAGGGATAGAGAGTTAGAAACATCAATGAGGAAGAATCATCAATCAGCTGCCTCTTGCACACCCCCTACTGGGGATGTGCCCGCAACCAAGGTACATGCCCTTGACCGGAATCGAACCCGGGACCCTTCAGTCCGAAGGCCGATGCTCTATCCACTGAGCCAAACCTGGTTTCGGCAGTAAGGGAGTTTTAAAAGGTGTTGCATAGATGTTCAATAAATATTTTTCTTTTTTACTGAACTTACTGGCATGACATTAGTTAAAATTATATAGGTTTCAGGTGCACAGTTCCATAACACATCATCTGTACACATCATCACCCTGAGTTAGGTCACCTTCCATCACCATTTATCCCCCTTATACCTTTCTATAACTCTTCCCTCCTCTCTGTAATCCCCACACTGTTGTCTGTATCCATTTTTTTCTCAATCCCTCCATCTACCTACCCCCAGTCCCCTAACTACTCCTCCCCCCACAGCTGTTAGCCTGCTCTGTCTGTGGGTCTCTCTCTCTTTTGCTTGATAGTTCATTTTGGTCATTGGATTCCATATATGAGTGAAATCATATGGTACTTTCTATTTCTTTAAACCATTAACAAAGAGAAAATGGAAACAAATTGATGGCCTCAAAAAACAACAAATGACTATGAAGCAGTCTAATGATATACAAGATGGTAAATCTATCTATGAAAACATAAAATATATAAACTCATAGTAAACTATAAAATTGAGAGTTTCAAGAAAAATAGAAGGATTTATCATTTTTAGATATTTCAAGTCTTAATACTATGAAGCTTAGTTTTTATTGACTCACTGTATGGACTTAATTGATCCATGATAGTCCCCACTGCCCATGGTCTATGTGGCTCAGTTGGTTGGTTGAGTATCCTCCCATTCTCATCCACCAAAAAGTTTTGGGTTCGAGTCCTGATTAGGGCACATATTCTAGGTTGTGGGTTTCAACCCCAGTCAGGGCCGGTAGGAGAGGCAACTGATTGATGTTTCTCTCTCACAGCAATGTTTCTCTATCTCTTCAGTCCCCCCTCTTTAAATCAATAAAAACATAGTCTTTGGTGAGGATTAAAAAACAAACAAAACAAAACCAGCGGCCCTGACTGGTATAGCTCACTTGGTTGGAACATCCTTGTACACATCTAAAGGTGATAGGTTTGATTCTCGTTCAGGGCACATAAAAGGGTTGCAAATTCTATTCAAAACAGATCAAAACAATTAAGAGTCAGTAAATTGAACAGAGAAGGGCATGTATGAGAAGCAGCTGATCAATGTTTCTCTCTTACATTGATGTTTCTCTTTCTCTCTCCTCCCCCTTCCCTTTCTCTCTCTCTTTCTCTAAATTCACTTTTTAAAAAAGAAAATTGACCTCACTATTTTAAAACGTGAGGTTTATGGAAGTGTATATATTACCCTTTTAAGAAGAATAAGTGAATTCCAGCAAATACATGTAGTTATATAAAATAAAGACAGTTTTTCTGTGCTATTAATAAACAATTACAAATTGGAATAAAAGAAAAAAACCTAATACCATTTATAGTAGTACAGAAATATGAAATATTTAGGTGTAAATATGATGATGTATGTACATGGTGGGCTCTTTGGCCCCTTGAGTTTGGCTCTTCCACAAAATACCACGTGTGGGCGCGGGATTGAAACTTTGTGGCCCATGCGCAGAAGTCAGTGTTCGGTTCTCTAAAGAAATTTCAATCATTGTAGTGTTGATATTTGACTCTGTTGACTAATGAGTTTGCCGACCACTGGGGCTAGGGTGAAACATAACTCTTGATAGTATATACTTACAGTATTAAAATCAAATCCATTCCTTAGAGTCTCATTAACATTTAGCCAAAGTAGAAAGACTGAAGGATAGTCAAAATATTTACTAAAATCAGTGTACCTTTTACATAGAGTGGAATCCTTTCTTTGACAAGTGGGAAAGGAGCCTGGTGAACCTAGGAGTAAAAAAGGGGTAGCGTAGCAGATGCAAGTTGAATGTTCAAGGGCCATCTGGCTAATAAGACTCATACTTGAATCACAGTTGTCTGTCACAGTACGGATTACAGTAAATTTTCCTCTCCTTGGGGTACGTTATATAGTATAGTGAGCTCTGATGCTTTCTTTTCTCTGTTCAATTTACTGACTCTTAATTGTTTTGATCTGTTAAAACCTCCCATTTTACATTGATCTGCAGAACTGGCATCAAATGCTCAAAAGGTAGCTCAGGATCTGCCAAACAATTCTTACGGACACAAAGGTATGAATATTTTATTTAAAAATTTCTTTTAGTTAAGAATTTTATAAAATGCTTACAGTATCTTTTTTTTTTAAAATCAAGATTAACCAATAGAGTTTATCAGATAAGTATTTATAATTTATATTTTTACAACTATTTGATAAAATAATTACCAGCTTTTGATTATGGAAGTTTTTCAGATTGGCCTTCAAGGGAACACAGATTTTTTGCATCATCGTTTTCCTTTCTCCTACATGGCTAGCTTATATGTGCTTTTAACAAAGGACCAACATCAAAGTTAGAGCAAACATAAAATATATATGTCAGATTTATTGTCTTAAACTGAAAATAAATTAACATCATTGACATTTTCAGTTATATTTGACGTATAGGTCTATAAGCCTATATTGGGAACCAAGCACTTACTGTAAGATTTTAATATTCCAAAATAAGGTTGGGACATGACTGTATTCTTCTGAGGACTGGTAGTTTTTATAGTCTATGTATTTGGGGAGGGTTACTGCAACATCTTGTGCCTGGCTTTTTTTTTTTTTTTTTTTTTTTTTTTTTTTTTAAAGCAAGAGCATGTTCACCAATCTGCATCCAGTTATATTCCAATGCTAAGTGCCCAGGAACACATTTGGCCTCAGTAGAACAACAAAAGCAGTTTCTTGCTTTTTTTTTTTTTTTTTTTTTTTTAATATATCTTATTAATTTTTTACAGAGAGGAGGAGAGAGGGATAGAGAGCTAGAAACGTCGAGAGAGAAACATCGACCAGCTGCCTCTTGTACACCCCCTACTGGGGAAGTGCCCGCAACCAAGGTACATGCCCTTGACTGGAATCGAACCTGGGACCTTTCAGTCCGCAGACCGACGCTCTACCACAGCCAAACCGGTTTCGGCTGTGCCTGGCTTCTTTTGTGGCTTTGTCCTCTTATCTGCCATATCACTTTACCGTGTTGTATTGCTTCTTACAATGCAACATATGTGTACATTATGTTGTCTTCTGCTTCCTTTTAATGTACTCAGTTATCAACCTATTCTGCATGTCTAAATTTGTATTTTAGTTTTCATACACTTAAAAAATTACTAAGATAGTAAGTTTTATGTTACAAATATTTTTTTTAATTTTCTTATTTTATTGATTTTGTACAGAGAGGAAGGGAGAGAGAGTTAGAAACATCAATGAGAGAGAGTCATCGACCAGCTGCCTCTTGCACATCCCCTACTGGGGATATGCCCGCAACCAAGGTACATGCCCTTGTCCGGAATCGAAACCGGGACCCTTCAGTCCCCAAGCCGATGCTATATCCATTGAGCCAAACCTGGTTCCGGCTTATGTTACAAATATTTTACCACAACTGAACTTTTTTAATAAAGCAAGTATGTTTTAAACTTTAGAATGTTAACATTTTATGTATAGTTTTTGTAATGCCTCATTATTTCTCTCCTCTGGACTGTCTCTTCTTTATATATCTGTTCATATATTTTTTTTCTTTTTGAAAAAACATATTTTTATTGATTTCAGAGAGGAAGAGAAAGAAAGAAAGAAAGAAAGAAAGAAAGAAAGAAAGAAAGAAAGAAAGAAAGAAAGAAAGAAAGAAAGAAAGAAAGGGAAACATCAATGATGAGATGGAATCATTGATCAGCTGCCTTCTGCATGTCCCCACTAGGGACTGAGCACACAACCCAGGCATATGCCCTTGATTGGGATTGAACCTGGGACCCTTGAGTCTGTAGGCCGACTCTGTATCCACTGAGCCAAACCAGCCATATATTTTCTAGCTTTTAAGTTTTTTGCTGTGCTTCATCTAACCCCATAAGCTTTCTCTTACCAGTCTAGCATTCATTAACATCTTTGTATTCCATATTTCCAGTGTATTAATCAAATTCATGTGATTTATCATTATTCAGTAATAGGCTACATTTCTCACTCATAAAACTTTTAATTATCTTTCCTATGAGATATGATTTTGGTACCTAGAACAATGGTTGCCAACCTTTCGGACCTCATGGGCCACTATTGATCCACAGACCACCTGTTGGTAACCGCCGACCTAGAATAATACTTAATCTGTAATCTTTTAAGCCAGCATTGTTTCATTGGTGATTGATGATGAAGGAGTCCTAAGGAAAATTCCACCATAAATGGTTTCCTATTATAATTTGATTGTTTAAAAGTGAAAGTTTTAGGAATGATTTTTGAGGCTTTGAAATTGGTTGCCATTTCTTGCTTAGAGTGTTTCTAAAACTCCTTAGATTAAACTTCAGCTTTTTGTAGAAATTTCTCAGTTTTTAAATTAAAGTACTATCTTCTGTGATGAATTTGACAACATGACCATAGGGTAGGTTGGATGGAGGTGGCGCCAAGAACACTGTGTACTGGCCATCTTTGAAATTAGTCCAGTTGTGAGCTTTTAAAACATATACTAGCCCTAACCGGTTTGGCTCAGTGGATAGAGCGTCAGCCTTCAGACTCAAGGATCCCAAGTTCGATTCCGGTCAAGGGCATGTACCTTGGTTGCAGGCACATCCCCAGTAGGAGGTATGCAGGAGGCAGCTGATTGATGTTTCTCTTTCATCAATGATTTTAATTCTCTCCTCCCTTTCTCTCTGTAAAAAATGAATAAAATTAAAAACAAACAAACTATATATATACTTGGTGAAAAGTCTGGAAGGAAATACATTAAAAGACTGGAGATTGCGGCCCTGGCTGGTTTGGCTCAGTGGAAAGAGCATCGGCCTGCAGACTCAAGGATCCCAGGTTTGATTCCGGGCAAGGGCATGTACCTTGCTTGCGGGCACATACCTGTAGGGAGTGTGCAGGAGGCAGCTGATTGGTGTTTCTCTCTCATCGATGTTTCTAACTCTATCCCTTTCCTTTCCTCTCTGTTTAAAAAAAAAAAAAAATCAATAAAATATATAAATATATATATTTTTTAAAAAGACTGGAGATTATGTAGTAGTACTTGGAAGAAAGTCACAATGTAGAAGGAAGACGAGTGAAGGGTAGGTGAATGGCAGGCCTTAGATTCATTTAGCTTTGTATACAGTGTGCTAAGGAGGCCTGTGCAGGGGCCTAGAGATAAGGTTCCAGTACTCATTTCCAATAGGGACTAAAATTTCATTTTGTGTTTTTTTCCACTATTAATTCTTTCTACCTTTGATTAAGAAAATATTTTAATTCAAATGTTATAAATATTTATGGCATTTCTGAAGAAATTATGGGAACCATTTAAAGATATGACAAGTGAGCCAATATAAAGGATCAGATATCTAGCATTACTATTACTGTGACTCTTGAACAGCACAAGGATTTGAGATGCCAACCACCCTCCACACGTGCAAGTTTGAAACATGTCTCTCTTATACCCACATAGTAGCATGTCTTAGGTGATATTATACCAGGATCCATGCCCCATAAATCCATAGATTCTACATTTGTTTGCCATACCAGTTTTGTTTTTTATTTATGTATTTAACATGGTTTTTATTGATTTTTAGAGAGAAGGTAGAAGGGAGAGGGATAGAGAGAAACATCGATGAGAAAGAAACATCATCCATTGGCTGCCTCCTGCATGCCCCTTCCTGTGTAGACAATTGCTGAGCACACTGACCAGGTCCTAGAACCCGTTTTAAATTAGGGACATCATTTGGAAAGCATTCCTAAAAGGACTATCTTCCTAGGTAACAACATCAGTTTACTTACAAAGTGGTTGATTATTAGGTTACTGACATGATTCCCAGGAAATTGGATCTATTCATCTGCCTTTTTCCTCAAGAATGTGCTCCTACTTCTTATTTTCTCTTTCCACAAACAAACCTGATGGGCAGTCGGATGCTCATTTCTTCCCATTGAAGAGACTGATAACATTCACAAACGCACATTTTGAGAGTGGTTACAGTTAATATTTTGCTATATTTTCTTTTGAAACCATTTTCTCTGGTGTGTTTGCATGTGTGTTTTAAAATAGTGGGCCTATACTTATTTACATAAGATCTATATTTGAATATTTGAATAATAATACTTTTCTTTAAATCACTTAATTGTTATATAGATGTTTATTCTTTAAGAACTGTTTGAGCATATCCTCTGTATCTGCTCTTCAGGAGTTATAGCATTAGACTTTATATGAGCAGGACTAATGTTCAGCTTTGCTGAAGACCAGTTAGGAAACCATTCAGTGGAGCTAATACCTTATGAAAAGGATGCTTCTGTAAATATAATAATTCAGTAGTCCTCCTGGAAGGGTCCAAGGCAGACCTGCCTTTATTGAATTTTGTTTTGTGTTTAATTTTATTTATAAGGGATGATGTCATTGTTTAATGTGTATATTTGTGTTGTGCCCATACTTTCTTACTCATGGCAGAATTGCCTGGATATCATCTATACTGAAGCAGAATCAATTTTAGACATTGCTTTGAGTTTATGTGGATAATATCTAGCTAAATTGCATTGGAAAACATGATAAATTTTATTAAGAGTAGATTAAGAGCCTCATAGTTCTTGGATTGTAGACTAAATTGATACAGTAGATAATCATTTGGAATAAGACAATGTTTGACTTGGTGGTATAAGCTGTGATTGTTGTCAACAGGGGCCTGGAAGAATTCTGTGGAAGAGTGGACAACGGAAGACTGGACTGAAGATGTAAGTGTTTAGTACCAGTTCAGACCCATCTTCTGGTTTCTGGTACAGGATGTGTATTCGAGGAAAGCTTGCGCTATCTTATGGCTGGCTGTTCTGTGGTTGCCATGTTTTTGTTGTCATTGTATTTTTAGCAGATGGAAGGAGTTTGATGTTTTGAGATTTTTAAGGTACTTGGCTTAAATTGTTCACCTAAAAATTCCCATGTGTTAAATATGACTGAAGTCATTTTTTAGCTTATCTTTGTTGTTCTGACCTGATAACAAATTGAATCTATTGCCCTGGCCTGTGAACTATTAATTACTCTTTATAATGCTTTTAATAAAAGGAGAGAGTCTATGTTTGGGTCACACTTGAATTACTCTGAATAAGTCATCTGGTCCCAGGCCTAACTTCTTTCCCTTTCAACTAGACTGGCTCTGTTCTGGGTATTCATTTATTCCAGATATTTTCGAGTACACCATACTGGCTTCTGGGTAGTGCTGATCTCTAAGTTTCTAGACTCAGCATAAGATTTTCTTGGGTAAAAAAATTTAACTCGAAAAAGAATAAGTAACTGAACTAGCTCTGTACCATATTTTATACCATTTTTCTGTTCAACTCTCAAGGTCCAGAACAGATGTATGTACATGATAGTTACAGCACACATTGGTAGGGAGAGAATAAAGGGGTTGTTGAATATTGACCTTTAAAATCACATAAATAGATTCAGATTTTGAGGGGTTTTTTTTTGTTTGTTTTTTACAATTACATTTTCCCCCTCTGATCCAGTTTGTATTCACAAGTATGTAAATGACATTTTCATTTAACATCAAGCTATTTATTCTTTTTTAAACAGTATTATTTTTAGCTTGTTAGGGAGTGAGCTAGTTAGGCATGAGGAAGGAGAATAGATATGCTCATTTGATTGGAATTTAGTAGATTTAGGACATATTATCTTTCTTTTTAAAAAAAAAATTATTTTTATTGATTTCAGAGAGGAAGGAAGAAGGAAACATTAATGATGAGAGAATCAGGAATCAAATCGTGACCTGGTTCATAGGTTGACGCTAAACCACCGAGCCTGCTGCTGGGCTAGGCAATAGTTTCATTTCTGCTACATGTTAACCATAAGTCCTTGAACTTATGGTTATAGATGGGTGGTTATTTGAATCAGTGGAGGAAAGGATACCAGCATAAGAGAAAGTCAGAGGGCTTATTTCAAACAAAGTGTATCCTACTTTTATTTATTTATTTATTTTTTCAAAGGTATCCTACTTTTAAATGTTTTTGTATTACTACAATTTTGGGGGAGAAAGAAAAACAAAACAAAACATGTTCCTTGACCTTAAGCTTTATATCCCTTTGCCTTTGTCTGGGTTATAGGCAAGTTTGAAAATCATCAGGGGGTTAGAAGGCAAAAGGAGTGTATTCACACCTAGCTGGGTTGACCTGTTGAGGCATTTTTTCTTGCTGAGCCTCCTGTTTTCTTTCTTTTTTTCAAGCCTCCAGTTTTCTTCACTATAATGAGTATCATAATAATTGTCCTGCCGAACTTACAGAGTTTTTCTGTGAGTCAGATGATGTTTTATAATGAAAGTCAGGTAACAAGCAATTCAGATGTTCACACATACAGAGATCTTAATATTCTGCTGTATGGACTATATAATATCACAGTATAATTTATAATTAGTGAAAAGAATTAGCACAGAGAAGTTGGCTGTCTTCTTTCCTCAGGAGTTATAAAAAAAAAAAAACCTGAAAATTTTATAAGATGATATAAAGTAATGGTGGTCAGTGTGCATCATGTCACTTAGGTTTTTATATATCTAGATATATAGATAAAACAAGATTAAGAAATTTCTTAATCCCTTTCAAACAGCTATCTGAAACAAAGGTCTTCACTGCCTCATCTGTTCCACAAGAGAATCATGTCACACCTGGGAAGAGGTAAATACTTTTTGACATCTTTTGTTTGTTGTAATTGAAATTTCTGGTCTCGGGAAAACCATTTTGATTCTTGGATCTGTTTTGATTATTTTTACCTTTTCTTGAATCTCTTTGTTTTTTCCTTCTAAGACTTTCTTTGATCCCAAACCTACCTGGTGACCTGACAGAGCCTCCATCATTTCCTAATTATTATATCCACTGATGAATTAAAATAGCAGTTATGTTAGTGATTTGTTATCATTTGCGACAGATTATATTAAACCTATGTAAAGATTCTTTTTTACTTTTGTAAACATGTATTTAGACAGATGAACTTAATACAAAATATCCTTTGGTTTCTTCATATAATATCATTTATTTAGATCTCAGTCTTATTTTTTATGAGTTCTAGTTTTTATGTTTTTTGTTAATCCTCACTAGAGGATATTTTTTTCAGAGAGAGTGGAAGGGGGGGGGGAGAGAGAGAGTGAGAAACAATGTGAGAGAGACATATTGATTGGTTGCCTCCCACGCACGCCCCAACTCGGGACAGGGATTGAGCCTGCAACCAAGGTATGTGCCCTTAACTAGATACAATTGAACCTGCCACCCTTCTGTCCCTGGCCTAGCTCTAACCACTGAGGAACCGACTGAGGAGGGCTCTACTAGTATTAATCCAATAGTCTGGAGATTACAGAAAAGGAAGGAAATGTTGTCAGTATGTGTACAGAATTGAATTATTGAAAACCATTTATATACATCCTAGTTTTCACAATAGCTCTAATTTTTTTAAAATTATAGTTTGAAAATGCAGTGATCTAGAAGAATGAAGGCCTTGATATATATGATATCTGAGAATTAAAGGCAATTTTAATCTTAAGATGCTTAGTCTTGTGCTAAATGAGATGGTTATAAGACTTTTGCAGGGAAATAAAGATGATTAAAGGTTATGTCTAGCAATATAATGCTTTGTGAATTGCTCAGAATTTCTTGTTAAGTGTACATCTTTATTGTATTTATTGCACAATGAATTTTATAGGATAATTTTCATCTTTTAAAAAATATGAAGTGGACTCTTTCATGCTTATTTTTCAGAAGATAGTGTTGTTTTTTGTTTTGTTAATCCTCACCTGATGATATTTTTTCTATCGATTTTTAGAGAGAGTGAATGGAAAGAGGAGAGACTAAGAGAAAAAAACCATTCTTGTGAGAGAGAGTCATCAATTGGTTGCCTTCCACATGCACCACTGAGCCAAACCTGCTAGAGCAAGGTTATTTTTTCCATTGCTTTTCAGAGTGGAAGGGAGGGATGGGTTATGTGTGGAAATTAGAGAGAGAAAGAAACATGGATGTGGGAGAGACACATTGATTGTTCTAACTGGGCTGGGAAGTAAACCTGCAACCCAGATATGTGCACTTGACCAGGAATTGACCCCTTGACCCTTTGGTGTAGGGATGGGGTTGGCGGTTAGGTGGATGGCACTAACCATTGAACATACCAGTCAGAGCAGTGCTGTATTTTTCATGCATATATTTCATCAATCTTTTGGAATAGAACTTGCTCTCTTTTTTATAATAATACAACCTTTTTTTGGTGGATGGGTCATATATAATATAATTACCCTGAGTTTCTGTCCTTGACGTATTCCATAAGCCAGAACATTATGTTGGAATCCAACCTGGTTATTGGGAAGTCTGTGTGATAGTGCATAGGTAGAGAAACTCTGGCCCAAGAAGTGTGTTTTGTGTTAGCGCTGAGTCTTGAATTATTTCACCTCTCAGAATCTGTTTCACTGGCATGGTGAAAGTGTCAGAAGAACTGACTGGCAACTGGCCTTGGAAAGGGTTTAATGGAGCAAATTATGATAGGTAATCCCGTGTACCTGCAGGTCCTGTGGAAGAGAGTTAGTTGCTCACATGTAAGGTGGTAGTGAGTGTATCTGGAAGGTAATTTCTTCCTCATGCTTTCAGGTTTTTAGGCCATAGTTTTCTTTTTTTCTTTTTTCTTTTTTTAAATCAATCTTTATTGTTCATATTATTACAAAGGTTCCTCATTTCTTCCCCCCTCCACCAGGTTCCCACCCCACCCTGTGTCCCCTCCCCATCCCCCATTGTCCTCATCCATAGGTGCAGTTTATGTTCAGTCTCTTCTTCCCTCAATTTCCCCAATACTAAATCCCATTTCAGATAGTAAATCAGTTACTTAGCATTTTCTCATATCAATAATACCTCCACATGCCCAATGATACACTTCACACAAAAGACATTTCCCAATAGTTCCACCAGCCTCATCCAGGCCCCACCCAAGGCACTCACAGATCAACACCCCAGTCCTAAACTAACTCAACACATCCAGATCTAAGCCTTCATCACTTGATTCAGCAGACCCTCAAGTTCCCACGAAAGTTTCCAGCCATGTCTGAGAAGCAGCCGTGGGGCAGCGGCAGGGAAGGAGCGAGCTGTTCTGGGCCTGGCTGCTCAGGGCCTGGCCTCTGTTGCTCTGGTTCATTCCACAACCAGCTGCTCCGGGTCTGGTCACTGCCGCTCCAGACCTAGTTGCTCTGGACTTGGCTGCCGCTGCTCCAGGCCTGGCCGCACCCGACCCGCCTGCTCCCCCGGGCCTGGCCGCTCCCAGCCTGGCAGCCGCTGCTCCGGGCCTGGCCGCACCCGACCCTAGGCCATAGTTTTCAAATTGAATATATGTCTTTCTGGGGCCATCACAAGAGTTGTAGTAAACAGAGTATTTGTGAACATATTGTGCATTCTTTCTTAAATATTTAAGAGAAAAATTATATGAGATTTATACAAATTAAATATATTATTGGAAAGAATGCAAAACTTACAGGAACATTTATGATAAATACGAAACTGCTTAACTAGGCTACTATAGCTATGTTCCTCCTTCCCCCAAAATGTGAACTCACTTTCCAAGTAATAAAAGGAGCAAGATATCCTAAAGGAAACGAGCCAAACTTTAGAAAATTCTTTCAGTTTGCTCATTTCTCTAGATTTTCAAATGAGTTGTCACTGTTGCATTTCTGTGGAAATAATCTCAATGCACCTTTTCATTTTTCTTCTCTGCAAAGCCCTGCTTCAGTCTCTGTGGCTTTAGGGTTTTTCTTACTTGAGTAATTTTTGGCATGAATTTACTTTATACCGATTCACTTATCAAATTCATTTGCTGGTAAGATTTGTTTATGACTTGTGCTCTTTTGCTTTTTGTCTGCTTAGCGTCGATCTGGTAGCCTTGCTCCAGAAGCCTGTTCCTCCCAATCAAGCCTCAGAAGTCAGCTCCTTGGAAATTTCCCAACAGCAGGGCTTTGGCCAGGCCCTCGTCTTCACAAATTCTCAGCACAGCAATCAGATGGCACCAGGGACTGGCAGCTCCACTGCTGTCAACTCCTACTCTCCTCAGAGTCTGGTAACTCACCTTTATTTCAGTCTGGGATCTTAAGGAATACTTGTGCTAGAATGACACATGCCTTATAACTGCTTTCTAAATATAAAAAGTTATGCAGTAAATTTCTGTCCGGAAAACAATGATGTGTTCGTTTCCAAGCACATATCTGATGCTTTCATGTGGAATACAACTACTCTGAGTTTTCTGGGCAAAGATAAAAATACTTTTTTTTTTTTGAAGTGAAAATCTTTTTCATCATATTCACTCAGGCATCCTTATTAATGATTTTTCTTGGATTTTGTTTCAAAGTCTATTTCTAGACTTAAGCTGTTAAAATTGTCGTTTTCCAATTTTGTTAAATGCAAATGTTTGCCAGTATTTGCTTACTGAAATTATGTGAACACAGTTCTGTCCAAGTCTCCCTAGGAACTTATTTTTTTTTTTAATTTTTATTTTGCTATACCATAAACGTGGTGTACTTTTTCTTAAAAGGCTGCACTATGTAGTAGAGACCCTTATAATTTGAGAGTGCTTTCACTGAAACAGTGTCATCTTCTCCTGCATATATGATTCTGACCTCCCATGAGAATTAAGCCCCTATCAGAACGAACTCAAGGGATTGTTAGTGAAGGATGTGGAGATAGGCTGATGCAAGTAGAGGAGCTTGGGGCAACGATCACCAACCTTTCGGACCTCACGGACCACCAGTGGTCTGCCGACCACCGGTTGACGACCGCTGGCTCAGAGCATAGGATGTCCAAGAATGTAGCTGCAGCCTGGGAGAGTGAAGTCTCTGTCTAACCATAGGTAATTGTGAGTTGGCAGAGGGAAGGTTGAAGGACCATAAACATAAGATCTCAGCTTTCGCTAATAATTATTTTGGTTCATTTTTACTATATTTCACTTGAAATTTACAGTTGAAAAACAGAATTTCTTATGATATAATCTCTTCCTCTTACTTGACTCAAAATCATTTGCTATACCCTAATAAAATGTAGAAGTGAGTATGCAAACTTTTTATTGCAATCTTCTATTCTGCATAGTCATCTCATGTCAAGTATATCTGGCTTGGGGCATATTTTATATTTTTACTGTCATAGATGATTGTGCATGAAAGGGCATCAGTGCTTCAAGTGGGACAGCGTAAGCCATGATACTCTCTTTGTTTTGAGAAGGCCTGATGGTACCTACCATTCATTTTTTATTGAACCATCATGCCCTTTCCTCCTCTGCCTTTCCATCTGCTTTTGGCATATTGATGTCATGCCCTTGACTTCCTGGAGTCTTAGGCCAATGAGAGCATAGGTAGGACATGAGTGTTTTTTTTGTTTTTGTTTTTAGTGACCTATGGTTTTTTTGTCATGAAAAAACACCTTGAGAAACTGGTAAGAATTATTTTTGTAATGTATTAGAGCAGTGGTTCTCAACCCTACTGTACTTTTATAATCAATGGGGAACTTCAATAAATAATGACAGTAATAGTGAGCATAATAAAATAATGCCAAAGTCTCCTCAAAACCAACAGAGTTTTAAAGTTGATTGAAATGTGTAGGTGGAGTTGAGAAAGCCTTTGGTAGCTTTAGTTATTAATGCAGTGATTTCTTTTGTAGTAAAGCACACAAAGTGCATTTGATAAAAATTAGCTGATGTAGAATAGAGATTAGGTAGGGAAAAGATAAAGAGTAGAAGCATCATTCAAAGAGGCCTTCATTGAACAAGTGGGCTTGAGCTGGGTTTTGGCAGACTAGTAGCAATGAAAGAGATATGTAATGGGCAGCATAAGCTAAGAATCTGGAGTAGTAATAAGTAATGTTAGCACAACTGTTCCTTAGAACAACTAGGATACTCTGGGTCTTTGGATATTGGTAACAGAAATAATTTTATTTCAACTTTCTAGATCTGGCTTCTTAAGAGAATGCAAATTCTGTTTTTGACCTTTTAGGTGGTTTTTGAAAGTTACTTTTGACGAAGAACTTGTCTTTTCAGAAACTGAATGATTTTGATAATGTAAAAATGCAGTTGATCTTGTCATTATGTTCTCTAGTTATTAAATTTTCATTTTCCTAAGATCTTGATATCTGGCCTGACAGGATAGATAGGGGAGGAGTACATTGTCTGTTGTATGCTTGCTTGTAGGACATATTTAGTGTTCCTAGTCAACTAAACAACTTGAAATAAACTTAGTACCTCCTGTGTCTTATTTTGGAATACTAACATATTAATTAAGTAAGTGCTGTGATCTGCATTTAATCTTGTAGACCTCATGGCTTGTCTTTTTTGGCAGACCTATTCTAATCATTAAAGATAATAAGTGCCCCAAATATTAAAAAAAACAAAACAAAAACTGTGTTTTTGTTTAAGCTTGTGCTTGTCATTTAATTCATGGCATTTCTCCTTAGGTTTTTTTTTTTTTTTTTTTTTTTAAGGTATTGTGTTTGTTAATTTGTGACATCACTTTTTAAAATCAATTTCTTAAAATCCAGGGAATATGTTTCCCTGTCCTTTAACATCTTATACCAGAATCAGGAAGGATTGCTGGATTTATTTAGTCAGATTTTGTTACATACTAATATTTTCATGTAATGTAATCATATGAGTCTTGCTTATTCAGGTTCTGGATTATAGTTTTAAAAATCCTTGTGAAAATACTTGGCATGTTGTAAAGCCTGGGGTAGATATTCTGTATTGTTTAGGATTTCTGCTTTCTTTCTCTTTAAAGTCATCCGTCCTTGGTTCAGGATTTGGAGAGCTTGCACCTTCAAAAATGGCAAACACTACCAGCTCCCAGATTTTGGACCAGTTGAAACCTCCAAATTTGGGCCAGTTTACTACCACACCAAGTTTGCAGCAGAATAGTACAAGTGCCCCCACAACCACTTCTTCTTGGGACCTCAAGCACTCAGCTACCCAGTCCTCAGTCCGTAGCCATTTTGGTAAGTATACATTTTCTGTAGTTGCTTCACCCCTGAACACTAGTGGAGGCTGTTGACTTGTGAACACTACTGTGGGTTTTGACTAGAGATTTAAAAAAAATTTTTTTTAATTGATTTATTTGAGAGAGACATCAGTTGTTGTTCCACTTATTTATGCATTTATTGGTTTTGATTCCTGTATGTGATCAAACCCTCAACCTTGGTGTATGGGGTTGATGCTCTATCCATTTGAGCTACCTGGCCAGTGCCCAGAAATCTTGTTTTTAGTAGAACTTGGCAAAGTTTCTGAATTAAATCAGTCAGCTTTGTATCGTATAAATAAATACCTGCATTTATTTGTCATTATTAGTATATGTGCTGCTGAAGTGAGCACTATTTGTTGTTATTTGTAATAGTACATACCTTGAAGAGATGTACAAAAGCATGGTAAAGACATGTAAATATAAGAAAACAACTTATCAAACCCACTGGGTTGCTTTCTTTTTTTATTTTTATATATATATTTCTTTATTGACTTTTTAGACAGAGGAAGAGAGAAGGATAGAGATTTAGAAACATCAATGAGAGAGAATCATTGATCAGCTGCCTCCTGCACACCCCCTATGGGGATGTGCCCACAAACACGGTACATGCCCTTGACCGGAATCGAACCTGGGACCTTTCAGTCCATAGGCTGACGCTTTATCCATTGAGCCAAACTGTTTTCAGCATGGGTTGCTTTCTGATTTTAATATTTGCATGTATCCATCATGATTTGGTTCAGCCTTCCCTTCTGTGGTTTATTATTCAAGGTATCGCTTGTAAATTGAAGGTTTTCTAAATTCTACTCCCATAGTTTTGTGACATTAAGCTACCATTTCCCATCTACACATACCATACTGTATTAAGGAACAGCAGGGAGTTACTTTAAAGGGTTGGTTGTGTGGATTGGTTTATGCTTAGGGCATTGAGAGACATGGAAACACTTCCTGAGTACCTGAGATTATCCCCAGGTTTGGAGTGATAGCTATGAAAGAAAATCATTAAGAATTTCAATGCCCAGGGTTTTTATCAAGGGATGGGGGCTGGTTATGTAGGCACCCTCTGCCTAGTACACACCAAACTTCCAGATTTCTAGAAGAAAAGCAAGTGGTTCAGTGTAAACTACATTGTACAGATATTCAAAGCACAGAATCACATTTGTTGGTTAGAATGTTGCCATTCTGTTCTTCAGACACTAGCCAAGAGCCAATCTTGCAAGCCAGTGATGGTAGAAGAGGAAATTCTAATCTCGTGTGCCAAAATAATTTTGGTTTTACCCCTTCTTTACCTATCTTCTAGATTTTAAATCTCAGCCTGAACCATCCCCAGTTCTTAGCCAGTTGAGCCAGCGACAGCATCACCAGTCTCAGGCAATCACTGTCCCTCCTCCTGGGTTGGAGTCCTTTCCTTCCCAGGTAAAACTCCGAGAATCAGCACCCAGAGACGGCACCTCCACTGTGAACAAACTCTTGCAGCTCCCCAGCCTGACTGTCGAAAATATCTCTGTGTCTGCCCACCAACCACAGCCTAAACACATCAAACTCCCTAAGCGGCGGATACCTCCAGCTTCTAAGGTGGGTATTCCATGTGAAGCTGCAGTCCCAAGGTGGATGTATTTTAACATTTAGCTTAAGTGTTGGATTAGCAAGTCTCAGAAACTTGAGTGTAGTGCTTCTCTAGCACATAGCTTACTCCTTTATGAGGAAATGGCTAATGTTAGAGGGAATGAGTTTGTACTGAGAGACAGAGAATATTAATTCAGATTACTAGATCTGACTCAAAGAGACTGATGGTCTTGTGTGCTTAGCTGTGCTGCCCCGCAGTGGAGGATGGGTGGGTCTTTTACCAGGTAATGCTTTAAGGCATTCTGCTCTTTTACTCATCCAACCCTCGCCCCTTACTAAGGAAGCAGTGGGTAGCAATGACCATTGTCCTGTTAACTTTTAATTTTTCTTTGCTCTTGTCCCTTCTGTCCCCTTTTTAAAAATCCTATTCCTTTTTTTTCTTTTGGCCGTCCATGCCTTGTTCCTCAGGCCTGCCAGCCATGCCCTGGGAACCCAGTGTCCATTTGGCTCTGGTATAGACCCTTGAGACTTAGACTCCATGACTTCTGTTCCTGACATGGCAGCTTTGCCTTTTCAGATCCCAGCTTCTGCAGTAGAAATGCCTGGTTCAGCAGATGTCACAGGATTAAATGTTCAGTTTGGCGCCTTGGAATTTGGATCAGAATCTTCGCTCTCTGAATTTGGATCTGCTGCAAGCAGTGAAAATAGTAACCAGAGTCCCATCAGCTTGTATTCAAAGTCTTTAAGGTACACAATCCCACTTCTCTGGTTTTGACTGGAGTAAGTCTTTTGTTTGCAAGGTAAAACAGAAAAGAGCCCAAGAAATCACCTGTGGAGGCAGACAATACACTCTGTGGTAATGGATCTGTGCAGCCCTGACTAGTATCTAACCCAGAACTTTTCTTCCATCACTTTAAAAAGAAACCCTGTGCCTAGTTGCAGTCACTTCCAATTTCCCCTTCCCTTCACACCTGGCAACCAATAATCAGTCTCTGGATTTGCCTATTCTGGACATTTCCTATAACTAGAATCATGAAATTTATGGTCACTTGTGACTGACTTTCACTTAGCATAGTGTTGTCCAGGTTCATCTTTGCTGAAGCATAAATGCCTTTTGTTTCCAAATAATATTTTATTGTGCTGATATACCACATTTTGTATATCCATTATGAGGTGATGGACGTGTGGATTGTTCCCACTTTTTGGCTATTATGAACCATGCAACTGTGAACATTTAGTTACATATTTCATGTGCTTTTGATTCTGCGGTTGTATACCTAGGAATTGCTGGGTTATATGGGAATTTATATTTAACCAATTGAGGAAGCATCAAACATTTTATGCAGTGGCTGCAGCATTTTATATTTCTATGAGTAACCTGTGGGAGATTCAGTTTCTTCACATCTTGCCAACACTTTCATTCAGTGGAATATTTTATAAATAGAGGAAGCCAGATTTTATATTTTATTTTATTAGTTAATTTTTCCACTTTCCAGAGCCCCAACCTGATATTTGCATGGGTTCCTTTTCTAAAGATGGTCTCAGACATCTAGATTCCTTAAAGATTCTTAAAGCTGTCCCTTTGCCTGTCAATTAAGTTAGATGGGTCTAGCTTTTTATGGGGATGGTGCTAGACTTGGGGGATTGTTTTGAATCTTCACTGCATTGTTACTAAGTCGAAGAATGCAGTAGTATAAATTTGTGGTTGCAGACATGTTTATTTCATTTAGAGTATAATGAAATAGTTCTCCTTCATGAAGCTATGTAAATTGACACAAATGTATGTCTAATACCATTTGTAGTGATTCTTTGAATACCTCTCTACCAATGACCAGTGCAGTACAGAACTCCACCTATACAACTTCAGTCATTACCTCCTCCAGTCTGACCAGCTCATCCCTGAGCTCCGCTAGTCCAGCAACAACATCTTCCTCCTGTGACCAGAGTTCTGTGCATAACAGGGTTGCATACCAAAGCTCTGTGAGTCTGTCTGAGTCAGTTCCAGGAACTGTCACGGTAAGTGGTCTTTCGGGTCCTTCCTGTTTTGGAGTTCAGTGTGTAGTTTGAGCCTTTTTTTTTTTTTTTCCCCTCTCCCATGAGGATATGTTGATTTTATTTTATTTTTTAATATTTTGTAATTCTCACCTGAGGATGTTTTTCCATAGATGTTTAGAGGGGAAGAGAGAGGAAAACACAGAGAGAGAGAGATCAGTGTGAGAGAACACATCCATTGGTTACCTCCTGTACAAGCTCTGACCAGGGCCACGCCTGCAACCAGGATATCGGCCGCTGACTGGAATTGAACTCGAGATCCTTCAGTCTGCAGGCCAGTGCTCTGTCCACTGAACCAAACCAGCTAGAGCTGAGGATATGTTTATTGATTATTTTTTTTTAAAGATGGAGAGGGAGGGAGTTGGGGGAGAGAAAAAGAGAAATAAATGTCAATCGGTTGCCTCTCGTATGCTCTCTGATCACAGGTGCCCCACCTGGGGATTGAATCCCAAACCTAAGTGTGTGCCCTGACTTGGAATTGAAGCCATATTTTTTGGTTTGTTGATGACACGAACTGAGCCACCTGGTGGGAAATTAAGCTTTTTGATTGAGATTTTCTTTTACGATTTACTAACCTTTTGAGTAGAATCCTTGTAGTTTGTTGAATTTGCTAACAGCATCTCATTTAAAACATGCATTTTAAGCACCATAAAAACAGGAATGTGTGTAAATGGACCCAGAAGCTTAGTATAAGGATAATATAGGGACACACCCCAAATTACTCTTAGTGGTTTGGATGGGCTAAGAGGGGAACTATAATCCTATCTGTAATATTTTCATTTCCAATAAGGCAAAAATGTTCAGGCATTATTGGTGAGAACTACTTTAATAACTGGATTATAGCCCGGCTGGTTTGGCTTAGTGTTTGAGCGCAGGCTTATGAACCAGGAGGTCACCATTCGATTCCTGGTTTGTAGGAGGCAGCTGATCAATGATTCTCTCATCATTGATGTTTCTCTCTCTCTCTCTCTCTCTCTCTCTCTCTCTCTCTCTCTCTCTCTCTCTCTCTCTCTCTCTCTCTCTCTCTCTCTTTCCCTTCCTCTCTGAAATCAATAAGAATATTTTTAGCTGAAACCAGTTTGGCTCAGTGGATAGAGCGTCAGCCTGCGGACTGAAGGGTCCTGGGTTCAATTCCAGTCAGGGGCATGTACCTTGGTTGCGGGCACATCCCCGGTTGGGGGTGTGCAGGAGGCGGCCGATCTATGATTCTCTCTCATCGATGTTTCTAGTTCTCTATTCCTCTCTCTTCCTCTCTGTGAAAAATCAATAAAATATATTTTTTAAAATATATATATTTATATATATATATATTTTAAAGATGGATGACAAAATAAAAATATTAAAATATAGTTGAATTGATCTAGCAAAATTGGGATACATTTTCTAAGTCTTCTAAGCAGGAACTATTTGTATATCTCTACTTAAAATTTTTTGTTGTTATTTTTACTTCCCTTATTTTGTTTTACATATTTTATATTAGGTGTTTTACTCAAATGTCTGGTGACTCCAGGCTGCCTACCTGACACTAAAAGGTTAACTAAGGGCTCTGACTTGGAATGGGGGTTATAGGTTGCTGAGTATGGGCTTTGATGTGGGACTGCATGAGTGAGCTATTTTTTAAAATATATTTTTTTACTCCTTCCTCAGCCCCTTTGAACCTTTTCTGTTGAGCTTTTTTAGATTCACAAGGGGCTGTTCTAGTCTCTTCCCTACTCCCTGTAGGCCTATGTCTTTCTGTCATTGTCATAAAGGCCTACTGGGAAGAGAAAGCTACCCCCCAGTTATGGTGCATGCGGGGGGCAACCAAACGATGGTTCTCTTTCACTTTGATATTTCTCTCTCCCCCTCTCTCATTCCCTCTCTCTAAAAATAAAAACATTGAGAGAGAAAAAAAAGTTTGTCATATTGCCCCTCAATGTTATGAAAAGAAAACAAACAAAACAGGCCACCATTCCTTGATTATGTTTCAAGTGTTTGTGGCTAAATCCCATAGAAAAATCATCTTAAGTTTTTATTTTTGTGGGTTTACTTATTTTCTCTTCCTTATAGAATGGACACGGTGGTGGTCGAAGTCAGCAGACAGTAGACAGTAAGTGTACTGTGAACTTTTTTTTTTTTTTGCATGGTTGGTGGAAACCAAACAAAATAAGAGCATCGCTGACTTGATAGGGAATGCAGTAGGTTAATGGCTAATTCTGCAAAAATAGTCCTTTAAAATGTTTGCTGACAGCTACTTCGGATCCATTGTTGGCACCTCTTCCTTAGATGCAGCTAGAGAGTCCCATGTAACCAGGTTGTAGCTGGTGTATTATTACAAATTGGGTAATAGCCTCATATTGTTCTGCCTTAGTCAGATTGCACTAAGGCAGGACAGTATTGTATTGATTTAAAAGATGCTTTGCTTGCCGAAACCGGTTTGGCTCAGCGGTAGAGCGTCGGTCCGCGGACTGAAAGGTCCCAGGTTCGATTCCGGTCAAGGGCATGTACGTTGGTTGCGGGCACATCCCTGGTAGGGGGTGTGCAAGAGGCAGCTGGTCGATGTTTCTCTCTCATCGACGTTTCTAACTCTCTAGCGCTCTCCCTTCCTCTCTGTAAAAAATCAATAAAACATATATTTTTTTTAAAAAGATGCTTTGCTCAAAGGTACAGGTTCTAATGGTCAAAGGGCTCCCACTCTGATAATGTAAAGAACTTTTAAAACAAAAATTGGTGTGCTAGTTCAGGAAATACGTGTTCATTGCCTACAGGTTCTGACAGACTATTGCTAGGAAGAGAGATAAAATGTTGCTCACTGGAAACGCTTTGGAGAAAATGAAGGGATTCCCCTGTCCTGTCCCCCAGTTTCAGTACAGCTCAGTGATCAATGGAGATGACACAGGTGAATTTTGTTCTTGGCTAGCCTATCTGTGATTGTTTATGGTGGTGTTTGTGACCATTCAGTAAGGCAAGTGGGTATTGAATATGGAAACCCAAAGATTCTTTTATTTACAATTTTTTGGGACATGGACATGCAGTTAGTTGTACCAGAGCTGGACTGGCTTTAGCCAGAATTTAAAGGACATATGAGTTACCTAGAATTTTGGTATTACTGGGCTGCCAGAGCTGTTTGGAGATACGTTGGTAGCTCTGAGAACACTGGCTGTCAGAGGAAGTTCTCATTTCACAAGCCCTGCTGGCAAGTTTTTATAGTCCAGACATGGGGTTGAGAACACATAGAGGTGCACTAGATTATTTGGAGATTTAAAATGAGATGTAAGATGCTTGATGAGATGTAGTTTGCATTTTAGATAGGTTTTTATCTCCCGTTCTCTCTTCTCCACCCATTCTCTCTGACACATACACACACACACACACACACACACACACACACAGTATTTCTCTCCCCCCTCACCCTCCAGAAGCTTTTGGCGGACCTCTTATCAGTGTGTTCTAAGACCCAGGGAGGTGTGAGTTTTAGGTCAGGGACATTGTGGTGTCTTCATTTGATGTCTGTGAGAACAGGTATATTTGGAATAGACTGTTGGTAAAAAGCAAGCCTCAGGAAAGTAAAGGCTATTGTAAGAATTTATTACATTGTGTTTTGAACCTGTGGCTGCCTGTGCTTGTTTTCTAATCATCCTCCCTTTTGGAGACTAATGTGTTTCTGCGGTGCTCCCAGGGAATGCTGCAGGAGGGTACTGGTTGCTTCTTCCTATCTGGAAAAGACAATGATGCTTTATTTCCAAGCACATATCTGAGTCATATGTGTGGATGACACTAACACTGAGTCTTTTCTGCAGTGAGGATTGATAGCACTCATGGTCTCCTGAAAGCATAATGTGCTCTGAGGTTACTCTCTCCAAGCACATGTGAAGGAAATGCTATGCTCCCTGTGCCGAAGTAAGAGTTCAGCAGCAGCTGTGTGCTCTTCCTGTGGATGTGAGGCATGTGTAACTCCACAGCATGTGTACCGTGGGCTCTCAAGCCCCACCAGCCCTAAGTTGGCTCTGAACTTTCACAGGTCAGCCTGATTTGGTGCTGATTTGATAGAAGCAAAGACCCACCTGTTGGGTGGTCTTGCCCACTAGATTTTCACTGTCCCCAAGTTGTGCTTTTTAAGGAAATTGTGTTACTTTATAATTATTTTAGGCTCAGATCTTCTTTCTGAGTGTGGCTTAGGGTTGACCTGCTTCCTTTAGTTGAGAGAAGTATGTCCACATCATAGGACATTTATGATTATAAATTACTGTGATTATGTCATTTCCTACTTTGTCTGGGTCCTGTGCGTCTGACCATTGTGTGTCCTTTTAATAATCGTATCTGACAGAAAAGAGACCAATTGGGGACATGCTGGGGCATTTTCCATGGGAAATGTAACTTTATATATGTCTCAACTGCTCCTGACATGTCTCAAGATATTGAGCATATTTCAGATATTCATGGTTTGATCTGGATTTAAACAGATCTTTTTCTTACAGCTACTGCGTCTGTTCCTGCTCCAAAGACAACAGATCCTCCCTCGACCCTCCCATCTGTGGCCTCCCTGCCCAGCACCACCTCCTGCAGTACGCTTCTACCCTCTGCATCTCAGCACACTGCCACTTTGCCCTCCTTGTCCCAGCCTGGTGACCTGTCCAGCACCCCCCTCTCTCAGCTTAGCAGGTATGGGGAAAATTTGGGCTCAGAAAGAGAGGCCCACACTGGGGCGAAGTCCTGTAGCCTTTCTAGAAGGCTCTTCCAATGAACACCACCACGTGTTCCCCTAGCACCATGCCCTGGCCCTTTGCAATAATGCTCTAGATAGGTTTGGACTGGGACCGCAAATGTAAACTTGCTTGTTTGTAATCCTCTGTTCTCACAGAGAGCACTGGGCCCCCTGGGAATGGGGTGGACCAAGGGGTTGCTGCTTCTCTCATTACACCCTCAGGAGGGTGCCACTAGATAAGCCTCCTCCCGGCTCTGGCTCCTGTCACTGACGCAGAGTGAGATTGCTGTTGGATTTCTGAGCACATCTATGACTTAATGCTTGTCATGGCTTTATAGATGAAGTTATTACAGCAGGGTGTAGGAGATGGATTTCATTGGGCTCCCACCCTATGTCTTTTAAGGTGAATTCACCTCTTTCCCCTTTAAGCCAGGAGCAAAAGCATTTGATTTGAATTCTGGATTTGATGGGATTTCAGGCTCTGATTCTGGCATGTGGATTGAACATAGAAACCTTTTCCCTCACACAGATTTAATGAGGTCTTCAAGGCTGACAGTGTTCTCAGTGAAATCCTGTTCCTTTTCCAGTCTAAAGGGCAGAGGTTAGAGCTGACTGAACTGGCCCTGGAGGTTTCCCAGGCCAGGATGTTCCAGATCCTCAGGTTGGGTGACCCTTTAGGCCATTCTAACCACCAGCACACCTGGCCTGGGTTCCCAGGCGATGGGCGTGAAGCTGGGGCTTCTCCTGAAGGGAATGGGTGAGCTCATACCTCGCCCACCCGGCACGGGGCTCCGTGCCTGTGGAGTGACTTGGTTGGGTGGACATACGTGGTGCTCTGTTTTGTCTTCTAGTTCACTCTCCACCCATCAGAGCAGCCTCTCCTCTGCGCACACAGCACTATCCTCCAGCACGTCACACACAGTAAGTGTCCTCTGGGCTCCCTGTCCACCACCCTCTCAGCTTGGAGCTTAGTCACCCCAGGTGGATGCTAAACATGTGAGATAACCTTGAATTCTTTGGCTCTAATGTCTCGCTCTAAGTTTGTGGTTTGAGCTGTTGATTTCCTAGGCACCACGCTTTCCAAGTCCATGCCTCTGGAGAACTTGCTTCTCTAGACCTGGTACGTGATGAGCCAGTGGTGTCAGGTGGTGAATTTACTCCCAACTGTTCATTGTGCTTCCTGTTTATTATAGGAGACCTTTCTGCCTAGCAGGGGTGATTTGTTTTCTGGGAAATGTTATGTTGAGGCATTTGCAAGCTTTTAGAGGAAAGTGGGCCCATTGTTAGCTTCAACTTGGGCTCTCCTAAAAGTCAACGTTACTGAAGACCATTTTTCCTGGGTAGCCCTCTGCTACTTTGTGAAGGCCCTGGGAGAAAATGCTTTTAGGTGAAAGGGAGAAGAATATCCATCCTTTACGTGCACACACATAGCTGTTTGAGACTGGCAGCCCCGGCTCTACCCCAGTCGATGTAGCTGTGTTCCAAATTGGTGGTGGTCACGGGGACTTGGCTAATTCTGGCATTAGGTATTCTGTTCACTGTTAGCTCTGCGCTCAGACCATTTCCCCCAACTCGGAGGCAGAGACTTTGGGAAGGTTGATATTGCAGAACGAAGTCAGGAGTGAGTGACCTAGGTGATGGTTATTGAAGTGCAGCTTCTCCAGGTGGCGTTGGGAGGTTTCGGTGGTAGGGGTCAGTCTAGATTGTGATGGGTTGAGGCATGAGTTGTGAAATGGCTAGGAGTCAGGGTAGTGACCTGATACTAAGAGACTTGAGCATAGCTATTTGAGAAAGACAGGTGCCTGAAAAAAGGACAAAATGTCTCTCTCGGGGAGATAGGCTTCTGTAAGGTTGGAGTGGATGGGGCCCCAAGAAGGGAGGGAAGCTCTGGGTACAGATAAATGTGGGAGTCTGAAAGTTGAGAAAATGTGTTGCCTTTAAAGAAGAGATCAAATCATTTGCTGCAGAATGAGGTGATGGAATAGGATCAGTTCTATTTTTCCATTACGATCTGGCAAACAGTGAGGCTTTCAAACTAGTTTTCCAAGTGAATGTTAGGCATGATTGTTTGTCATAGAACACACAGAGCACCATCTTCATACCAGGGCACCGGGTGGGTACTTCTGCCCACCTGCCTGTGTCCCATGTTGGTCCGTGAGAGCCGTGAGCTGCCCACTGTCTAGTGGCTTCTGTTCCCGGGCCCTGGGGCGTTCGAGTCAGTGTTCCTGCTCGCACAGGTCAGCAGCACTTGGTGTCTTGTCAGAAAACTCCAAATTATGCCATCTAAGTGTTTGAGGCCAGGGAGTCCCACACTTTGTCAGTGTGGCGGAATTGCTACATTGTAATGTAGCTGTAAGATTTATCAGTGAAAGCTATAAAAAGGCATATACTGAAAAGTTTTCCTTTTATCGGCTTAAGGCTCTGTCCCTCTTCCTCCTGTTTGCTTGTTCCTCTAGAGTTCTTTTTAACCCATAAAATAGTAAATGCATACACGCAGTCATTTTTCTTTCTCTTCTACAACAGAAATAGGATATTTCATACATAGTGCCCTTCAGTGCTTTCCCCTACTTAATAAGGGCATTTTTAAATTGTTTCTGTGCTGAAGCAGAGGGCTTTGATGTTTTTGGTTTTTTTTTTTTTCAACAGCTCTCCTGCATCACTGTATGTGATCAGCCCTCCCCTGATAGGACATTAAGCTTGATGCTTCATTTGATAACGTTCTGCCAATGTTGTTTCGTCCTGCAGCAGTAGTAGAGGGTAAATCCTAGTGTGGAGTAGCTAGGCATTATCATTTTATGCAAAATGCCAAATGCTAAAAAATTTTGATTTTTATATAGTCAGATATATCAAGCCCTCTTTTATAGTCTATTATAGAGAGATCTTTCCCACTTGAAGGTTATGAAGGAAATCTTAGTGTTTTCTCCTCCCCTTCATCCTTGTGGGAGATTCGATACAGCTGTGCTCTTCACCCATCCTGACTGTCCAGCCCTTAAAATGGGGCAGAGGCCCCTTACTCCAGCAGTTCATCGCCCTCATGGGTGTGGGAGGTGGGAGTCCGAGATAGAAGGGTCAGCTGGACGAAGGAGAGGCTTCCTGGATGCTTGAGTTCCTTTCAGCAAACCAGGAACTAGTTCTCTAGAAAGTTGCTCTTAGTGGGAAGCCTGGTCCCATGCAGAGGAGCGTGGAGCGGTCTGGCTGGGCGGATTGGCGCAGCCTGCATCCTGTTCCCTGGCTCTCCTCCCTGATTCTGTGTGTCTGGGCTGAAAGAGCAGGAGTCCTGAGGAGTCTGAGGAGACGATGATTGTAGCTGTCTTTCCCTTGCAGAACCCATTCTAGACATCAGGGCCCTGAGGCCAGTGCTCCGGTGGCCAGGGCAGCCTGTGGGCTGGGATCATAGTCCGTGTGCGGAGAAGCAGAGCACATGGCGGTCCCATTTCTCCTGAGGCTTCCTGCTCTCAGGCTTCTCTGTTCTATACACATTCTGGTTTGGAGGCTGGTCTCGGTCTACAGAGCCTTTCCCTCCCGCTTTGGTCATACTTTGCCCAGCCAAGTGCATCTCTTCTGCCTTAATACTAGCTGAAGTGGAGCAGCCAGGCTGGCTTCCTGGAACTCCGGCTCTTCAGAGCTTTCTTCTGGGTTTTGTCCTTCTAGGTAGGCCCTGGTGGGGGACTCCCCAGGACTCTTGCTTCTGCAAAGTGTTCACCACGTTCTGGAGCAGAGGCCTCTCCTGGCCACCGTGACTTCCAGGTCAGAGTAGCTAGGAAGCCTAATAGAAGGACATCCCAGAACGCTCTGACTTGGGCCGGGCTGCCCGTGGCCGCCTCTCAGCTCTCCTGAGACTACTTGCTTTTCTGAGAGGTGGGTTCTCACCGTATACGGAGATGTCTGTGTTCATTTAAAATTTACTTGGGCCCTTGCTGATGTGGCTCACTAAAAGGTTGCCGGTTTGATTCCCTGTTAGGGCACATGGGTCTCAGTTGCCGGCTTGATTCTAGTTAGGTGCATACAGGAGGCAGCTAATTGATGTTTCTCTCTCTCGCTCTTCATTCCTCTCTAAAAATCAATAAAAACTGGGTGTACATGTGTGTACATACACATATACCAGCTTGGGGTTTCTGTGCCTTGTGGCATATACCAGAGAATGAGCAACTGTAAGAATTTTTAGGAGTGTTTTGGTCATAAAGCTCAGTTTTAATAGTCTTTTAACACAGCTTAAAAGTTGTGTTCTGATGGCCTAACCCCATGGTTGGCAAACTCGGACTCGCGAGCCACGTGCGGCTCTTTGGCCCCTTGAGTGTGGCTCTTTCACAAAATAGCACGGCCTGGGCGAGTCTGTTTTGAAGAAGTGGCATTAGAAGAAGTTTAAGTTTAAAAATTTGGCTCTCAAAAGCAATTTCAACCGAACTGTTGATGTTTGGCTCTTTTAACTAATGAGTTTGCCGCCCATGGGCCTAACCTAGCAGTGTGAGGGCAAAGGGACTAATGTGTGGCAATGTAAGCACTGAGCCCCGAGCCCCACAGGTCAGGATCTCAAGACAACAGGTCCAAATGCCAGGCTAGGTTCTCTTGCCTCCTGTGCTTTGCCCCAAACCCATGTGTCCTGGCTTTTTTATTTTGCCAGCACACCAGTGTGGAGAACACCCCTTCCCTCCAGTCCTCTGCCACCTTCTCAATGGCAGCAACCTCTGCCTCGAGTGCCACGTCCTCAGGACTCAGCCTGCCGAGCAGCATGAACACAGCGAACAGCCTCTGCCTGGGCGGAACCACCGTGAGTGCCCCTAGCAGCAGTACCAGAGCCACGCCCTTGGTGACCTCAGGTGTGTGCCCCGGAGGCCTTTCCCGCCTACCCCCACCCCCCAGAGTGCCCTGGATTCCAGGGAGGAGACCGAGGTTGGCGGGGCATGGTGAGCAGCACACACACCAGAAGATCATAGTCTCCCTCCATTCCTGCCATCGGCACTTGTCCTCTTTGTTCCGGCGACCTCTTGAGTCCCAGTTCTTCCAGCGCTGATGTGGGCGGAGATGGGTGAAACTGGTCTTTTGGGATGGGCTCCTTTGGGCAGGATTCCTGGCAGCCTTTGTGCTTCTAGCTCGCCAGTCTGTTGTGTTCTCACTCATCCCTGGAACCGTGATGGCAATAGTGACAGAGGCCAGGGAGCCGCTGCCATTGGCTATTTCTGGTCATTTTATGTGCTAATTGCCTGTCAGCCACACCCGAGCAGTCTATGTGGGCCAAACAAACTGTGGTTTAGGAGAAACTGCTAAAACCCTCTTTTGACACGCCCTGTTCCTCTCCTGGCAATGCCCAGCCTCTCTTCCACTCTGAGGAGGTAGATTGTTCCATTTCTTTTTCTTTTTTAATAGTTGACACTATTACAGATTTCCACCATTTTCTCTCTCTTTGCCCATCTTTTCCCAGCCTCCCACCCCCCAGTTGTTCTTTTTTAAAATATATTTTTATTCATAGAGGAAGGGAGAGGGAAAGAAACATCAATGATGAGTGAGACTCATTGATTGGTTGCCTCCTGCACATCCCCTACTGGGGATTTAGCCCTCGACTGGAACTGACCTGGGATTGGCTGCCTCCTGCAGACCTCCTACTCAAACCTGGGACCTTCAGTCTGCAGGCGGCTGCTCTCTTCACTGAGCCAAACTTGCTAGGGCCCCAATTGTTCTTTATATTCAGGTTTATCTAGTGCAGTATGACCTTCAGGAGTGGTGGGATGAGTTTCTGTCTCAGTATGGAAACAGCCTGACTGTGGGACTCGTGCTCTCTCCACTTCCTGCTGTGGCCCTCTGTACCTCTCAGCTGCTGTGGCCCCAAATAGGGTAGGACTGTGGCAGGAAGCTTCACCCCCAGCCCCATGACAGCTGAGGAATCTTACTCTTTGAGGTAGCCACTTCATTTGATTTTTGTCTTTATAGGCAAAGCACCCCCCAACCTGCCCCAGGGGGTGCCACCCCTGCTACCCAACCAGTACCTCGTGGGCCCCGGAGGACTGCTTCCTGCCTACCCGGTGAGTGGCTGGTGGAGCTGCTGGCCAGTCTGGGCTCCCATCAAGGCGAGGTGCCTTCTCCCAGCAGCTCCTCCTGGTCCCCTTCCTTAGTGTGTCCTGTCCTCCCATCTTGTTTAGGCCCCATATGGGCCTGGGCTTTCCAGGGGGCAATGTGTCATCCTTAACACCCTGTATGGTCCTCACGCAGATCTATGGCTATGATGAGCTCCAGATGCTGCAGTCACGGCTGCCAGTGGTGAGTGGGATATGGCAGGGAGGGTGAGGCTCTTTCACAGCTTCTTCCTCTCTCTGCCTTGATTGCCACCCTGCCTGGCCCTCAGGATACCCAGCCTAAAACCAAGGAACTTGCTTGCATTTGGTAGTTGTAGCTGGTGCAACTATAGCTGGGGCATATGGCTGTCCTTTGCTCATCCCTAGAGAACTTAAAGACCATTGGGACCTGGGGCCCCAGTTGGCAGCGCCCCCACCAAATTTTTTTCTTTTACCTCACTCCCTTTAAAACAAAAAAGAAGAAGACACAAGACATGGAGCTGTTTGCCTGTCCCTAGAGTTTTTATAATCTTCTCCTTCAAAGAACCATTCAGTGTCTTTTGCTTCTGAAGTGGCCATTAGTGATGCCTATGATGGCACCTTGCTCTTCTGTCCCTAGCTGAGGGAGTGTCTGGAGCTGACAGACGTTAAGGACCCTCTGGGTCTGGCCTGCCACTGCTCTTTGCAAGAATGCTGGCCCCAGAGTCTTCCTGGTTGTTGCAGCCTCACTCTGTGCCAGGGCTCACTCTTTATGCTGAGCCTTGCTCCAAGGATGCGCCACTGGGCCTTCCCTGGGATGGCCAGTTGAAGAGGACTGCAGTGGAGGGCTGTGGAGGGACAGCCTGCAGGCTCCTGTGTCGCCACTCCTTTCTTGGTCTGCTTTCTCAGACTCCTGTTTCCCAGGTTCTTGATAATTTTAGCAGCGCAGGGCATCTACCTGTCACACTATTTGAGAAGTAAATAGCTGTTTGGACACTGGCATCCTCTCCACTGGATATAGTACTTCTTTTTTTTTTTTAAATATATTTTATTGATTTTTTTTTTTTTTTTACAGAGAGGAAGGAAGAGGGATAGAGAGCTAGAAACGTCAATGAGAGAGAAACATCGACCAGCTGCCTCCTGCACATCCCCTACTGGGGAATGTGCCTGCAACCACGGTACATGCCCTTGACCGGAATCGAACCTGGGACCTTTCAGTCCGCAGACCGATGCTCTACCACTGAGCCAAACCGGTTTCGGCTGGATATAGTACTTCTTATTTCCTGGGGAAGAGGTTTTCTCTCCCCAATGAGGTGTCTTTCCTCAGACTCCTCCCCATTGATGAAGAGGAAAGACACCTCATTGGGGAGAGAACCATATCTCATACACACACACACACACACACACACACACAGAGGACACAAAGCTCTGGGAGCTGCAGGTGTCACTTTCGCCTTTCATGCCCAGCGGCTGAAACTCTTGTATCCGTCTGATGAAGTCTTTTCAGAGCCAGAGGCTGGTATCTGGGCTATTCTAACCCACCTGTGCAAACCTACAGCTCAGTACAATGCTGCTCAGAGGCCTCCAGACTCCTTGCTGTTGCCCACATCCCCAGAGAAAGGTTGCTGGAAATATGATGGCTGACTTCTAGGTTGGTCAACAGAATTTAGGGTCTTTGGGTATGCCTGAGCCTTAGGGCTCTCTGGGGAAACGGGAAGTGGCCCTGGTCCCCCTGATACTCATGAAATCTCACAGCAATCTTGCCCAAGAGTCCCAGGGCATCAGGGATGGAATGCAAAATGTGTTCCTGAGTGAGTCTGCACGTGGGTCCTGCTTGGACCCCTAGGAGTGGCTCATTGGAATCCCAGTCCTGGGAGTCATTTGCTTTGAATCATTTGATTCATCAAAATGATGAATCCCTTTATCATTTTATGCCTTAGAAGAAATCACCTCTGGGTCTACATGTTGAGATACAGCTTTCATTTGTCCCTTTGGTCATTCCTTAGCCTCTGGCTCTTTTTCATTCCCGCTTTTGGGTTTTCTTTTCTTCTGGGAAAAGAGCTCCCCCTCCTGGGCTTTCTCGAGGCCTGTCTCCAGGTGTGTTCCACCTAGCTCTGTGCCACCCCAGCCCCGCCTTCTCCTCGGATCCTGGGCTGAGGATGCTGCAGGTTTCTTGGAAGCCACCTGGAAACCAGGCTCATGAGGAAAGCAGGAGGGCTCTCCTTGGTTCAGAGGTGGTGGATGTCTGGGCCTGCAGCTCTGGGTAGTAAGGGTCGAGGCAGGCCTCCCCATTCCCACAGAGCTCTGTTGTGTTTTGCCTTCTTGGTATCCCTGGTTCCCGTGGGGTGTTAGTGTTGCCAGGGGAGACTGGGTGAGAGACAAGCTCAGCACCTTACCTGGGGTCCTGCTTGTACTTGTGCCTTCCTGGCATTGCTGCCCTGACCCTTGTTAAACCCTTTAAGGCACCTCCTCTCCTACCGACTCCTTTTTAGGTTTCTACTGTCTGGTCACCTGCTCTTTAGTCTCACATAGGAAATTCCAGCAGAGCTGGTTCTGCCTATGGCATTCACCCGTGTCCATCTGCGGTGTAAATGGATGTGAGATTGGGCCTCCAGTGGCTCTGTGTGGAAAGCTGAGGGATTGGTCATTGTGTCTGCTTGCTTTGTGCTTTGTGGCTGCCACATTGTACAACTTCAACGGGCATCATTGACTTGGTGAATGTGCATGTGACATCCCTGCAGTCTACCATGTCCCAGGATGTGGCATCCTAGAGGGCCTGTGCTGCCTGCTGGACCTGCTCTCCAGGGAGGGGGTGTGGCCATCATGCTTACTGAGCCTCTCTGATCTCTCCTAGGATTATTATGGAATTCCCTTTGCTACACCCACAGCCCTTGCCAGCCGAGATGGGAGCCTTGCTAGTAACCCATATTCAGGTCAGTTTGTTCAGGGGATGGGGAGGAAAGGAGTGTGCATCAGACTGGCCTGTAGCTAATCCCAGGTGTCTGAAAGAGAAGGGTTAAGAGTTGCCTACTAGCTTCCCTTTGGTGAGCTGGCAGCCAGACCCATTCCTGTTTGCAGGAGACAGCCTGGCTTTTTTTCCTGGTTGGCGCAGTGCAGTGACTAGAACAGGTATCCTTTTCTCCTAGGTGATATCACAAAGTTTGGTCGAGGTGACTCTGCATCCCCTGCGCCTCCCACCACACTGGCTCAGGCACAGCAGAGCCAATCCCAGGCCCATCACACCCCCCAACAGCCCTTTCTGAATCCTGCGCTGCCACCTGGCTATAGCTACACTGGCCTTCCCTACTACACAGGCGTGCCCAGTGCCTTCCAGTATGGACCCACCATGTTTGTGAGTATTAGTGGGGGTTTAATTCCAGCTACAGGGAGTGAGGGACATGACTTCACTTAGTCTCTCTAAGGAATGTTTTGGGCTGGATGCGAGATTGCTTTCCTACCGTTTTTTTATTATTTTTAAAAATATATTTTATTGATCTTTTATAGAGAGGAAGGGAGAGGAATAGAGTGTTAGAAACATCAATCAGCTGCCTCCTGCACACTCCCCACTGGGGATGTGCCCCCAACCAAGGTACATGTCCTTGACCAGAATCGAACCTGGGACCCTTCATTCCTCAGGCCAGTGCTCTATCCACTGAGCCAAAAACGGTTCCAGCTATTTTTTTACTTTTTAATATTTTTATTGATTTCAGAGAGGAAGGGAGAGGGATAGAAAAATCAATGATGAGGGAACCATTGATTGGCTGTCTCTTGCATGCCCCTTACTGGGGGATTGAGCCCGCAGTCTGGGCATGTACCCTTGGCCAGAATCAAATCTGGGAACCTTCAGTCCGCAGGCCGGTGCTCTATACACAGCCAAACCGGGTAGGGCTCCTGCTGGTTTTTAGACCCAACATGTGTTGTACTAACACAGGTCCCTTGTGATTATGTCACCTGCTACTTTATGCTAACCCAGGAGTACCTGACCTCTCTCCCCTGCCCTGTTTCTCTAATGCCTCTCCTGCTCACCCTGCCAGGTTCCACCGGCCTCAGCCAAGCAGCATGGTGTGAACCTCAGCACTCCCCCGACCCCTTTCCAGCAGGCCAGTGGTTATGGTCCACATAGCTACAGCACAGGTGAGAGGTGCTCCCAGCACGGAGACATGGGTAGGACAGGCTTGCCTAGCTCACACATGCCTCTTGTCCCCTGCCATGCTAGGTTATGATGACCTGACCCAGGGGACAGCAGCGGGAGACTACACCAAGGGTGGCTATGGTGGATCATCACAGGCACAAAGCAAGTCTGCAGGTTCTGGGCCTGGCAAAGGTAGCGTCTGTCCCTCCTTTCCAGGACTGAGGCCCAGAGTAGTTGTCTCCTCCTCACGCAAGGCTATCCCAGAATGCCCTGGAGATGGGGGAGGCTGGAGTTAACTGCTGTGGGAACACCTGCTTTTCCTCCTAGGAGTGTCCGTGTCTTCAAGCACCACTGGCCTCCCTGACATGACTGGTTCTGTCTACAATAAGACTCAGGTAAGGGAGGAAGAGATGGGCGTGCAGGTTTGTGAGGGATGCAACCCAGGATGGTCCTCACGATTGTCTCTTTGCCCTGCAGACTTTTGATAAGCAGGGATTTCATGCAGGGACCCCCCCACCGTTCAGCCTGCCCTCGGCCTTGGGTTCCACGGGGCCCCTGGCCCCTGGAGCAGCTGCTGGTTATGCACCCCCACCATTCTTGCACATCCTTCCTGCCCACCAGCAGCCTCACTCACAGCTGTTACACCACCACCTTCCGCAGGATGCCCAGGTGAGCCAATGATGGAGGCAGCCACCCTGCCCTGGGTTGGGGGTTCTGCTCCAGCCTTGACAGCCTTCTCTCCTCCTCAGAGTGGCTCGGGTCAGCGCAGCCAGCCCAGCTCCCTGCAGCCCAAGTCACAAGCCTCCAAACCTGCCTACGGCAACTCTCCATACTGGACAAACTGAACCCTGAAGAGGGGTGGGCTGGGGCAGGGCTTACCCTGGGCAGGAGATACCACATGGAGCCCGATTCTGGGAGCCCAGTACCTTTTCCTAGAATTTGAGACGTGTAATTGTGTCAGCCGAGCCTCTGTGGGGAGCCTTCCTCCCAGACTCGCTATTGTATGTAATGTATTTATGTATGTATTTGTAAATGTGACAGAAATCTTAGCAGAGTGGGGAGGTTTTCCCCACTCAAGCCCCTTTTTGCTGTAGCAAAATAAGCCCCCTCTCCCCTCTTACCTCCCACATAGCCCCCCTGCCAGGAGGCTTCAAGGGGCAGTGCCTGGAAGGGCTGGTTTAAGGCATTTGGGTAATGGGATCAGGTACCAATGAAGAATCACGACTTATCCCCTTATAAACCATTATATGAGTTTTTCCTTCCTTGTGTAATTACTTTATCCCTCTATTTGAGAAACTTGTCCTTTTGTCATTTAATGTTCCTCTCCTGCCAAATCTTGATCTGGGAATAGCGGAGATATCCCCCCTGCTCAACATGAAAGTGGCACCTGTTTGTCTTCATATAGAGCAGGGGTATCTGCTTCTGGCCTGCTCTTGTCCCCAGGGACTTGCCTTCCTCTGGCTGGCCATTTTAATAATAATAATCCGAATTTGTGCTCAGAGGTGTTAAGCCAGGTGTCAGCTCCCCTTTTTAACAATCAGATAACGCTCCACAAGAGCACGTCTCCATGCAAAGGCTCCTCTTCCAGTTGTCCTGAACCAGGTGGGCGACTGCTTCAGGGTTTTCTCTTTGCCCAAAGTCCACCTAAATAAAGTTCTGAGAGCATGCCCAGTCTCTGTGTGGTGTGACTAAAGGAGAGTTTAGGGCCGAGGCCCTCTCCTTATAGTTCCAGGGACCTTTGGACTTCACAGGGCTGAGGTAGAGCTCACGCGGTCAGTCTTCTTGGCAACAGGGTGAGGGTTTAAATTGGTTCTCTCTTTGCTGGGCCCTTTCTTGCCTTGGCTCCAAATAGCATTCAAGGAAATGATTTCGGCTAAAAAGACAGCAAACGTTCCTGACGAGGCACAGGCAGTGTTTCCCGGTTTACTTTGCTTTTCTTGTAGCTCCATAACAGACTTATGGGATAGGCAGTCTCTTATTGGGTTTGTCAGCAGGAATAGCTGGGCAGGGTAATTTCTCTTCCAAAGGAGCAAAGGTAAAAATTGCAACCACAATTCTAGGCTGGTGAGAGAATAAGTTTGAACAGCTAAACCTTTGCTTTTCGTCAACCAAACAATCTTGATTGACAGTCAAGGCTGTGGTGGAACATGTGACTAGGGAGTCAGGGTGGTATGAAATAGGTAAGTGCACCCTGGCTGGTTTGGCTCAGTGGATACAGCATCAGCCTGCGGACTTGGGGTACTGAGTTCGATTCCAGTCAGGGCATGCACCTTGGTTACATGTTCCCTGGCCCTGGTTGGGCTGCATGTAGGAGACAGATAATTGATGTCTCTCTCTCCTTTCCACTCTCCCTAAAAACCAATGGAAAAGTATCCTTGGGTGCGGAATAACAAAAAAAAAAAGAAAGAAAAAAAAAATAGGTTAAGTAGATCCTGGACAAAATGTGTTGCTTCAAGTCAAGGTGGTATGCCTGGATTATAGTCTTTACCTTTCCTACTTTTGCCTCTAAAATCATTTAATCAGATCAGAGAGGTTCTGCTGTTAGTCCACAGCTTGGGATCCTAGCTTAAAAAAAAAGGTAAGTGGCCCTGGCCAGCATGTCCAGTGGTTAGAGCGTCAGCCTGCACACTGAAGGGTTCCCGGTTTAATACCTAATCAAGGGCATGTACATGGACTGCAGGTTCAATCCCCAACCCTTGTCAGGGCGCATATTGGAGAAGCAACTAATCGATGTGTCTCTCACATTGATGTTTCTCCTCTCTGCCTTCCACTCCTTAAAAATCAATGGAGAAAATATCCTCAGGTGAGGATTAACAACAACAAAAAGGGGGGGGAGGGGGGGAGTAAAGGTCCAAACTGAAACTAAAAGGGAGTTTTCATTAAACTGTGGTGTCCTGCCTGCTCCTTGCTTTTAGCAGCAGGAAGTTGGGAGGAGAGGTGACAGTGAAAACAAAGGCCTGCTAAGGAGGGCAGTGGAGCATCGCCATCCCTTCCACTGACCTAATTGTGCTGCTGACAGACTGTCCTATTTCAGAATTAAGGTTAACAAATGGCTGTCTTTAATAACCTTTATTTAAGCTAGGTAAGGACTGGGATATTTAGTCTGCAAGGTGAGCCGAGCAGAATGTTATAAAAGGCAGGTCAGCAAGAGTTGGTTTTTATTTTAATTTTTCAGCTGAATCCGAGGCATAATCTGCAAGGGAACAGTGGAGATACTAAGACCACCTTTTAATTTTAACACGAGAAAAGAAAGAAGAGGGTCATCCCATGGGGAAGTAGCAATACAGGTATATTTTATTTCACATTTTATTAGTAGACAGATGGGCAGAAAAAGACAAAATAAACCACTAAAGGGAAATTCAACACAAAATTTATCAGATAATCTTTTCTCATAAGTTAAACTGAAGAAAAACATCTACAATTTCAGCTAAGAAAACTATTAAAGTCAGGTCTGACCTGCTGGTTTTAGAATAGTTGAAAATTGCATCTGAATTTGTAAATGTAAACCTTTTATCAGCATGGGAGGGGTGGAAAGTTAATTTTCAGTGGAGGACTACACTTTTCCCCTTCAATCTCTTACCATATATGTCCCAAAAAATAAGGAAACCAGCAAATAAACAAATAATTACCAGGGAAGAGGAAAGAAGAGACTACAAAAAAGAAAAAGTCTGGCTAATAGAAAAGAGCTCTGGAATGATATGAAATAGAGGGGAAGACTTTGAGAAGCAACAACAGAGTCATGATGATCTACTTTCTCCACCCAGCCTCAAAAGCAGACTGGAAGAGCACCCAGAGAGGCCTCCATAGAATCAAAGGAATTTAAAAATGCAGGATTTTGAGCTCATTATACCAAATCAGCACAAGTGTACTCACAAGGTTCCAGCTGGAGATCGCCACTCCTAAGGTTACAGTAAGCTCAGGTTTCCTTTTGCCACAGGATGTGTTCTCAAGACAGCTCTGGAACCATCATCTGGGTTTTACAAGTCAGTGTGAGCTATCAGAATGTCTACCTGCTACCAAATCACCGCACTCCAGTCTTCTGATTGTATTCTATCAGAGGCAAACCCAGCCCTCACTGTTAACACCCCACAGGGCTGGGAGGTACCACCTCCACCTGGCTCTCTGGCTCCCTGAGTCAACGTGCAACAGGCCAACAGGGCCTAATGGGACCAGGCTGAACAGCATAGCACCTCCCACGTTGCCAGCATGCCTGGTCTGCCCTGGGAAAGAAATGCTTTAGCAGTAAGGGGGGAGGGGGGTCCTGCGGCTTAATTATCCGGCTCTAATAGAGTAAAACCAAGCCACCTGCTGTAAACATCGGGGCGGAGGGTTTGTTGAGGGTAGAGAGTAATCAGCATTATGAGAGACTTTGGGCTCCATTAAGATTTGCAGGTTATTAGAAGCATGACTTAAGTATGAGAAGCGAAAACATAGTTTTAACATCCTTCTTAAGAGTTTGCAGTCCGTGTTTTATCTCAAAGAGTTGTTATTTACTGAATCTGAGTCACTAGATTCAAGGTTACAAGTAGTCCTCGCACCGTGGAACTTGGACAGATTCTGGGAGCAGGCTCAATATTCCCACTTAAACCTTAACACGATAAATGTTTTCACTTAATACTAGACCAAACTTCAGAGGCCAGAGAGGGTTGCTGGGAATTAGCACGTTTTGGAGAGTTTGAAGAGCGAATGAAAACCCTGAGATCAGAAAGGAAGGAGGAGCTAAGGAAGTAAGCATCACCTATTCTGTTCTAGGATCTATCCTACCTCATCCCTCATCAACCCTTTTGTTCTTTCTGAGCTAAGATCTGAAGAAAAGGAGTTGACACTAGTGCACAGGGATCTGAAGTAGGATTATAGTCAGTCTTTGCTGTATTTTCCTCCCAAAACCTGGGATTTTACATTAACAATTTTCCCCACTGAAAGAACACTGCCCTTGTATGAACTTGCCCACTCCCATAAGAAACAAAAATCATGCCAAGTTCTGAAGTCCCTGGTTGGTGAAGGCTGATGGAGCTCAGAATTGATTGAAGTAACACATGATTGAGACCAGGGACATCAAAGCTGCAGCCACTGCACAGAAGGAAGATCTAGCATCACCCAGACTGTCTGCAGCCAACTCCCTGGGCAGAAGAGTCTCAAGAAACCCAAGGCAAGTTCCATGCACAATTCTTGCACTCCACAGCCAGACAGTACATTGGAAGAAGAGCAAAGTCCAGGTTACAGCCAATGAGAAAGGTAACTGGTCACTCTTGTCTCATTTATCCACAGATATCACTAGCTCAATGAAAACCAAAATTGTAACACATGCACTTAGTATTAATACTGAGTAATTAAAACTGGCTACTTAAAAAAAATATATCCTCATGGTGAGAGCGCATCTTTGACGGAAAGGCCTTGTTAAATAAATAAAACATGTTCTCTCTCCCAACAGTGGTCACCAGTAGTTTTACCCCCTCCTGCCCAGCAGCATCAGCCAACATTGGCATCGTGATTTTATCTCTCTGTTGCCATCACCAAGACTCCCCCACCACTCCCTGGGGTGGGGGTGGGAGAAGAACAACTCTGCCTTTAAAATAAATAGCAATCAAGTGCTCAGTTCTATGTAAAGTATGAATATTTATTTCAGGCTTTAGATCCCAATCAGTTTCAAAAACCAAACTCTGATTTCTTTCCTCAGAACAGCTGAGACCTCTGTGTTAGGATGATTTCCTGGAGGCTGAAGGGGCGAGGTGCCCTTAGGAACACATTTCATCAGTCTTAGCACAGAGTCCCTGATGCCCGCCGTACCCAGACTTAAGAACTGGAAAGAAACAAAATTCACCAACATAGGGCTGAACAAATGTATACACACTAATGTAAATGGAGCAGCTAAACCTTGGCAAAAATTTTGAAGTTTGTCTTGTGGGATTTTGGGGGGTTGTTTCCATTTTCTCTTCCTACCCAGCATATGCAGCACTTGTGAACTCCCAATGGGTTCCCAGCTTTAAACACATTAAACATCTTGATGAAAGACTATTTAATTCTTCAAGAATCTAAAAACAGACCAAACGTGTTTTGCTGTGAACACTTTGTAGAGACGAAGTGAGGCAGGGGTTTGGGTTTAAAGGGGGAAAATCAATACAGTGATGGAAGGGTAGAGAATGCAAGAATTCGGACATTCTGTGGAGGATTACCTTCTCTTCATTAAGAGGTCCATAGAAGGAGCGAACTGAGATCCACAAGGGGAGTCAGCAGGAGCCGTGTTTGTTTTCCCCACCCCCTGTGATAGGTTTTTGCTGAGGGGCCACTGCTAGGTCCCCACTTGCTCCCCTCCCTTTGGCCTGAGATGGCAGGGCAGTACAGGGGCTTTGAAGGAGCAGGTCACGACTCCTCATTCCCAGAATCGTCATCATCATAACAGTCGGCATCTTCCTCCTCCTCATCTTCATCATCAATGTCATCGTCATACAAGTCGTCATAAAGCAAATCTGAGCTGTTGTCATTGGAAGGCACTTTAGTTTTGATGCAATATTCCGCCAGGGTCGTGGGGACTTTCACTCCATCCTTTTCTGCTTCGGCTTTAGTGGCTGAAACCTGTTTTCTGAAGGAAGAGGGTAGTTTATGTATGTGTTTTGAAAATGGGTTTATAATTGGTGTTCCTAAATAAGATTCCTTATAACTCAGGTTTCTAAACTTTTAGTGCCTGCCTGAAAGCCTCTCTTACCCCAAAAGCGGTCAGCCTCTTAGGTGCCATTCTGAAGGACGCCTAATAATGACCTTTTGAAAAGCAAATCTTAAATACTGGTCATCCAGCAATTTTCTCAGATATTTTTTCTCCTGTTTGTCTCTCATCAATGTCCTTTTTAAAAAAATATTTTTTATTGAAATTGAGTTCACAACCTGGGCATGTGCCCCCGACCAGAATCGAACCCTGGATCCTTCAGTCTGTAGGCCAACACTCAATCCAGAGCCAAACAGGCTAGGGCACATCAATGTCTTTTAAGACCTTGATTGATGCCTCTTAATTTCCAAAATCAGAATTTATATTCAAGCAATGTAAAACTACTTACAATTCTCTTGACATGCCATGCTGTCACACACTTGTGTTTTAGCAAACATGTTTCTTTCCCTAAAGAGGTTTTTTCTTTGCCCATAAAAGGGAATTCTTATTTATGAGGCATTATCTCCTAGGAACTCCATAGTATTATTTATTCCTTCCAGTATATCTTGTTTAAGCTTCTATAGTTGCCCTCATTTGTTTGCTAAGTAAAGTGAGCTCCCCAGGGAGAAAGAATACAGCTTAATGACTTAGCAGTGTACCTGACACAATGCTGGTGCATAAAATATATTGAAAGAATACAAGAATGAGATAAAGAAACAAACAGGAAGAATACAAATACCTCTGGATGCTTCATTTAACTAAAAATCCTTCCTTCCTTTGAACATCAGGCTTCAACCCTGTTTTTAATGAAGCATTTCCATCTTTAAATTAATCTACTCCTGCTCCTCTATACGCCCTTACTATTTTTACTAGTTATCATCAATCTCTGGTTTATACTAATCACCTAGGTGGCTGGTAAAAAAAACAAAACAGATGTCTACATTCTATCCATCCCTATAATCTCATTAAATGATGATGGATTGGAGTGTGGAGTTCTAAAGGTGTTTCCACTGGCAGAAAACAACCACAATCTACATTGGTCAGCTATCAGATGACATGCCTTTTTCTACGTTTGCTTTTAATATCACATGGTATACTTGTTATCACTCAGACATGAACTTAAATATCACCATAGAGGAGGTTGCCCTGACAACCCAATTTAAAGCAATCATCGCTCCTTCACATTATCCTACTTACCACTATCTAGTATTTGTTCTATGATCTAATTCATTTGTATTATGTTGACTAGATTTATAGAGAGGGACTCGCTAAATTCTAGTTCTTACTAGAGTTTGTATAAACTTAATAAATATAAAAATGCAGTTGTATTAAGGGGAATTAGATTTATTGCAATTCAAGTACCAATCTTGGATAGTTATAAAAATCTTATGTCCTACTCAGGAAATGATCTAGAGCTTAATATCTTCTCTATTTTTTCTCCCTTTTACACAGAAAAACTAAACAGCCAAAAAGTTAACTGATAAAAAGGTTATCAGTTAACTTTTTGGCTGTTAGGAATAGATCCAAGCCGCCTCTTATTCAAAGACCATATACTAATGTTGCTGATGATGATCATGCCCAGAAAAACAATAGGGCTTCATTAATAAACATTTTGAAAACAAAATTACCTGGAATGATTGGTTGCTTGCTACACTTAATGGAATGTTGAAAGTCCAAAATAATACAATCATCCCTAAAATGATTACAAGAGAAAGTTTGCAAACTGGTTCAGAACCTAGAAGCTCTGGTTCCCAGGAAATCACACCTGCTACATTATCTTGTATGTATTCTCCAAAAGCCAAACTCATTAGTCTCAAGCACAAATCTCTTCCCAAACAAAATACCTAATTGAGAGAAATGGAGTAGATTATGAAATTCAATTTAAACTTCCGGTTCTAGGATATTACTTTGGTTCTAAGTAAAAAGACTTGAAATGATCAAACCAAAAACAAAGCACCTTACCTAATGATTTCAGCATATTCTTTGTCTTTTCCTTTACTGTCCCTCCATTTCCTGAACATAACTGAAGCATCCACATTGGCTGGGGAGAAGGTGTTGGGCTCATTAAGCAATGAGATTACACTTAACAGGATAGTCCTAGAAATGAGGGGGTAAAAAAAGAAAAAGAAAAAAAAGAATCAGCTACAAATACTCATATTCACAAAATTCAAAAGTATTTTTTAAAATTAAAGACTACAATATTTGAGGCCTAGGGAAACAAAAATTTTGTTTTCAGTACTCAGCTGGTTAGGCTAACTAGGAGATAAAAGCAGAGGAAATACGTGAGCCTAGCATGAGATCCTATTGCAGGGCATACAACTGTAGAAGACTGTCTCAACTGGCTACATACTCCAATCTGCAAAAAGTACAGGTCTGGAAGCTTTTCAAATAACATTGTATATTTTAGAAATTTTCCCCACAAGTTTGCTTCAGATGTTACAAGTTAAGTGCAATAAGAAAAATTTCGAAAAGCAAAAAACATTTAGCTTCAAGGCAATTTTTTCATGGGAGGGAAACATGATGCTACTTCATACATCCATTTCTAATCGTGGCTGTTCATAAGATCTAAAAGAAAAAACAAACACCCAGTATTACACAGAAATGTGTTTCTTTTCACACTTTTAAAGAAAGGAAGACAGAGATAAGCAGGACAAAGGAGGGAAAAGAACTTGTCTCTTAATAGAAATCTTTATTCAAAAATTTTTTTTCTAAGCACCTACTATGTGCCAGAAGCACCAAGTAAGATGTTGGCTGTGTAATAGTGAGCAAATTAGATGTCATCCCTGAATTCTCAGGGCTTATATAGCTTGTGGAAGATATAAACAGGCAATTTTTATCCACAGATAAAAACTAGACACCTTAGTCATGGGGAATACAGTTTCAGTTAGATAAAATAACCAAAAGAGCACAATAGCCTCCAAAAATATTCCAGACTATTCCCAGGCTTTTTCCCCCTACAAGCTATGTGCATGTACGAAAGGAGAAAAATGGGAGAAAAAAAATTAAATTTCTCTACCTTTTCTCATTGGTGCGAGGTTATACATTGTGTTGTTGCAAAATAGCCTTTTGCTCCTGGCCCCAAGCAAAAAATAAAGGGAGGGGACCAGACAATTAGATGTTTGATTTGATGAAACCTTTTCCTAAAAAGGGCAAAGAGTTTCTGTTACGTGATTATACAAAATTATGACAAAGGCACTTTCAAAGAAAAAGTTCCCATCTAGTTAAAATCTATCTCTCATACACACACCTTTCTATTAGGTTAGAAATAACTCCTTGCCCTTCCTGCCAAGATCCTTATAGTTTTCTCCAATAATTACATTAAAAAGATTCAAAGAAACTCATCACTGCCAATAATGGGAAATGAATTCACATAGCATCCTAAAAGCAAAAGTGTAGGTAGAAAATTCCATAAGGGTTGCTTCAGAAGAAAACACAGAACATCCTATATAAAATAAAAGCATAATATGCTCAGTGTCCGGTCGTTCATTCAACCAATCAAAGCATAATATGCTAATAATATATTAAAGAAGTTGAAAAAGCCACATGTCTAGATGAATCATATTAAGAAAAATCTCCCCACAAATTAGTTTCACCAAGTTAGTTTTTATAACATCTTGTGTATATTATTAAAATTCTATACTGGGTAATGCAATTTTTAAAAAATGGTGAATCATCCATTTGTTCCAAAACAAGCCCACTCCTACTACAATATACTCCTAAGTTGAAATCCACATGCTTTCAGAAGCATTAGGTACCACAGTGGATTGCGATAATAGTTAACCCAGCACGTTTTTACTTCCTTCATCTGGAAAGCACAATTTTATTTATTTTTGTATAGAGAATCCACCATCATGCTATATGTTCATACAAACAACCTACTTAAACCCAGAGCAGTAGACATACCACCAAGTACTGGCCAAAGGATTCCATCGTCTTGTCATGAGGATGGGTTTGAGGATATGCATGCAAACTAAGCTGGGACAATCAGAACCCTGGTGGGAACTCATTTTTCTAACCTAAAAAGAATTTTTAATTCTTGTTGGTTTAATAACAGAATATAGAAAGTATAGCGCAGGTGACCATCTTTGTTACCAAGTGGTGAGAGCCAGCCTAATATATAAGGCAATATAGAACAAAGCAGAATTGAGATTTTTCTCTCTCTCAACGATTACTGATGCAAAACACTCAAAGTTTCCAAACCAGTATGTTGTGGATGGGCTGGGTTGCAGGTTAATTATACCTATAATGATTCCCTCATAAGTTGGGTGGGTCAGACCTAACTATCATTTCCTTTTTCTATATACCAC